ATGCTTCCTAAGGCCCACCTGACTTCCCATATGAGGGAAGACTTCACATTCAAGGATGTCTGGCTCTAGGTGAGTGATCACACCATCATGGTTTTCTGGGTCATGAAGATCTTTTTTGTACAGTTCTTCTGTGTATTCTTGCCACCTCTTCTTAATATCTTCTACTTCTGTTAGGTCCATACCATTTCTGTCTTTTATTGAGCCCATCTTTGTATGAAATGTTCCCTTAGTATCTCTAATTTTCTTGAAGAGATCTTTAGTCTTTCCCTTTCTATTGTTTTCCTCTATTTCTTTGCATTGATCACTGAGGAAGGCTTTCTTATCTCTCCTGGCTATTCTTTGGAACTCTGCGTTCGGATGGGTATATCTTTCCTTTTCTTCTTTGCCTTTTGCTTCTCTTCTTTTCTCAGCTATTTGTAAGACTTCCTCAGACAACCATTTTGCCTTTTTGCATTTCTTTTTCTTGGGGATGGTCTTGACCACCACCTCCTGTACAATGTCATGAACTTGCGTCCATAGTTCCTCAGGTACTCTATCAAATCTAATTCCTTGAATCTGTTTGTCACTTCCACTCTATAATCATAAAGAATTTTATTTAGGTCATACCTGAATAGCCTGGTGGTTTTCCCTACTTTCTTCAATTTAAGTCCGAATTTTGCAAGAAGGAGTTCATGATCTGAGCCACAGTTATCTCCTGGTCTTGTTTTTGCTGACTGTATAGAGCGTCTTCATCTTCTGCCACAAAGAGTATAAGCGATCTGATTTTGGTATTGACCGTCTGGTGATGTCCATGTGTAGAGTCTTCTCTTGTGTTGTTGGAAGAGGGTGTTTGCTATGACTAGTGTGTTCTCTTGGCAAAACTCTGTTAGCCTTTGCCCTGCTTCATTTTGTACTCCAAGCCCAAACTTTCTTATTACACCAGGTATCTCTTGACTTCCTACTTTTGCATTCCAGTCCCCTATCATGAAAAGGACATCTTTTTTTGGTGTTAGTTCTAGAAGGTCTTGTAGGTCGTTGTAGAACTGTTCAGCTTCTTCGGTATTAGTGGTTGGGGCATAGGCTTGGATTACTGTGATATTGAATGGTTTGCCTTCAAACAGAGATGATTGTATCATTTTTGATATTGCACCCAAGTACTGCATTTTGGACTCTTTTGTTGACTATGAGAGCTACTCCATTTCTTCTAAGGGATTCCTGCCCACAGTAGTAGATATAAGGTCATCTGAATTAAACTCGCCTGAATTAAATTCACCTTCCGGTGAGTTTTAGTTCACTGATTCCTAAAATGTCGATGTTCACTCTTGCCATCTCCTGTTTGACCACTTCCAATTTACCTTGATTCATGGGCCTAACATTCCAGGTTCCTGTGCAATATTGTTCTTTACAGCATCGGACTTTACTTCCGTCACCAGTCATATCCACAACTGGGCGTTGTTTTCGCTTTGGCTCCATCTCTTCTTTCTGGAGTTATTTCTCCATTCTTCTCCAGTAGCATATTGGGCACCTGTCAACCTGGGGAGTTCATCTTTCAGTGTCGTATCTTTTTGCCTTTTCACTAGGGACTCAATAATTTATAAATACAAATAATGTTTATAATCTTTGCTCTTCTTCTGTGTTATAGTCTCTCTTAATTCCTTTTATTTTCTTTTACTTTGTTAAGTATTTCTGTCCTTTATCATATTTTCCAAAGTAGTTACTCACTCTGTGTCTCTTCCAGTTTCACCTTCTTTCTGCTGATGATTGTATTTTTTCTTCTGCTTCTTTCATTAATTTCATCTATTTGTGTGTCATTTTCTGTCTTCTTATCTTTTCCTTGAATTCTTGCATTTCTGCCTTTCAGAGAGATGATTGCTTTGTTATGCTTTTTAAATCCATAGTAAACTGCGTACAGTTTTCATCGTCTTTGGGACATTTTTCTGAGTTTTTTTATACATTAATAAAGTATATTATGCTTTGCTTTACTTTAATCTTTGGTGTCTTTATGGATTGTATGCTTTTTCCTCATCATTGAATATGTTGGGTATTCCTGAACCAGTTATTTTCAAGACATTTCTGTGGAGGAGGAGGGGATATAGTGGTATTCCAGGGTAGCTGTTTTTCTATAAATAGGCTCTCTTTTTAGCTATCATAAAGATAAACTGTCTATTTAATATCACCACCTTCAAATTTTATTTTCTGTATAACTTAGACAGCTTTAACTTGGCCTATAGTGAGATGAGCTCCTAGATCAATTTAACCTTGAATTTAAACAGTTTTGGATGAGACTTGATTGTTTCATGTCCAGAAATCTTCTAGGAAAGTCCTGGGCTTTAATCTGCATTGTTTCCCATTCCTCATTTGTTCCTCTGTCTCCTCTGAATTCTTTACCTTAACAAACCTTTAGGATCAGGTAGATTAAAGAAATTCAGTTCTGCAGTTGCCACATAAAACATGATTTTACACTAGGATGCCCAGGATTTCAGTTGTGGGACTGTTGGGAAAATGTTTTCTTCTTTTCCTTAGAGGAAGAGTAAGTAGATGTTGGTAAGGGGTGAAGTAGAGGGTTCCCTCTTAGCAGACACTGTGTGACATCTTTCTGTTAACTGAGTAGTTCCAAACAGTAGGTGCCTTCTGAAATATAAATTTGTTGTTGTTGACTGATAGTAATTTTAATTGTTTTACTGCTCTTTTCTGTTCATCTTTTATCTGTAAGTCAATTAATGACTTTCTGGATAAACATGTGTTGTCAATATTTTATATGTATTGAATTCCAGGGTGGGGAGTGGAAGAGACATTATAAGATTTGATATTACTGGGGAAGGCTAGCTATTGCCTGCTAGTAGGTTTCCCTTGGTGGTATATTCCTTGGTGAAGTTGCCACTATCTTCTTAGATCCTGCACTTGGTTTTGCAGACTCTGATTTTTTTTTTCACCTGTACCAAAACTGGGTGGATCTTTTACAAATGGGCTGGTATTAAACAGATTCACTGGAGATTTGTTTATAAATAAGAATGCTACTACTAAATATGGGCTTCCCTGGTAGCTCAGATGGTAAAGAATCTGCCTGCATTACAGGAGACCTGGGTTCAATCCCTGGGTCAGGAATATCCCCTGGAGAAGGGAATGGCTACCCACTCCAGTATTCTTTCAGAGAATTCTGTGAATAGAGAAGCCTGGCAGGCTACAGTCCATGGGACTGCAAAGAGTCGGACACGAGTGAGTGACTAACCATTTCTTCACTTCACTACTAAATATATCATGAGAAACAAATCAAATGAACCAGAAGCCTTACATCAATACATTCCTCAAAGCCATTCTACCTAAGAAAGTAAATTATACTGTAAATATGGCTTGCTGATCATGGAATCTTTACTATTAGTTATGAATCTGAACTATTAGTTATGATTCAGAATGTTTAAAGGCACCAGGCTATGAAACCTAATGAATCTACCTCCACAGTAGATACATACACACCTATTATTGCATGTCTTAAAAGATTCTATTTGTATACTCCTTGTATACTCCCTGAATAACTGCAGCCTAGGTTTGATTTAATAACTCATTTTCTCCAGTTTGTTTCAGACTGACTTTTCCTTCACATGTTGTTGCTGCTCTTGTTGTTGTTGTTGTTTTGTCGGCTTGCAAGATCTTACTTGGTTCTCTGAGGAGAGATCGGACACGGGTGATTTTACTTAATTGCGTGCTAAGTCACTTCAGTCGTGTCCAGCTTTTTGCAACCCTATGAACTGTAGCTCACCAGGCTCCCCTGTCCATGGGATTCTCCAGGCAAGAATACTGGAGTGGGTTGCCATGCCCTTCTCCAGAGGATCTTTCTGACTCAGAGATTGAACCCTCATCTTTTAATGTCTCCTGAATTGGCGGGGGGTTCTTTACCACTAGAACTGAATATTAATGTAAAAATAACTATTTTAATTTTTCTGTTAAGCATTTGTACTGTGTTAGATATTTTTGTGTAAATTAACCTTTTTTCTTTTGAGTTACTTCCTTGGGATTATATTCCTAAAAGTAGAATTCCCAGGTTTAAAAGAAGCAGCAATTACATAGTCATTACATTTTTGTTACTGGTTTTAGTAACTTTAGTAATATACCTGTTTTCCTCAGGCACTATAAAGATTATATTTTAACACTTAATTTTAGCTGATTTGATTGATTTTATTGTCTTAGTTATTTTAATTTGGTTTTTATTTGTCATTACTATTTTTTCTATACTTTGTTCATTTGGGCTTTTTTTCTTCTCATTTTGAAATGTTTTATTTTTCATTTCCTCATCTACTTAGACAATATTAAAGAAAATATTTTAAAGTTTTTGTGTGATTGAACTCTTTAAATTTTGTTATTAAAGCATGTGTCTTTCTTGGTTCATAAATAATTTTTGCAACATATTGTACCTTTGAAAGCTTTCCCTATATCATAGATACTATATAGGTTGAAAAAAAATGAGAGCAAGGGATAATATAATTAAGATAAATTTACAGGAAAATGGAGGAAAGAACTATTTTGCAATTTCAGTTAAGTGTCTCCATATGTTTGCTAAATATGCTTTATTTAGTAAATATGTTTTATACATTTACAACTTACTCTTTACCTACTTAATATGTGATATTCCAAGATTTGGATCTTATATATAAAATAGATAACTAATAATAATGTGCTGTATAGCACAAGGAGCTCTACTCAATACTCTATAATGGCCTATGTGGGAAAAGAATCTTAAAAAAAAGAAGTAGATATGTATATAGGTGTATATATATATAATTGATTCATGTTGCTGTGCACCTGACCCACAGCATTGTAAATCAACTATACTTCAGTAAAAAATAAAAATTTGGATCTTGAGGTGTCTAAATATATTTCTGCATTTTCTTGTTTATATTTCTTTCATTTTTTTCCCTCTGACTTTTTACATGTAAACTGGGTTATTCATTGTAAGTTTTCATTGATAACTTCCCTTTTAGTGTATAATAGCAACCTGTTTAGTTCTAATACTTTTTTGCTATGAAACTTAATGTGTTGAATTACTTCATAGTTATCTTCACTTTTCTGTTGTTTGTCCATAGATAATTTTTCAGCTGTGGAATATTTTAATTTGTAACTTGCAGGTTGTAGACTGAGTTTAAAATTTTTAAAAATTTAGTCAATAGCCATTTTTAATAGGGTAGTTCAACCTATTTACATTTGTTAAAATTAGTATGCCTATTCTCTCTGTATTATTGGGTAAATTTAACTTTATTGTTGCAGATTTTTGGTTTTGTTTTTTGATTTTTATTGGAATATAGTTGATTCACAATGTTGAGGGTTTTGTTTTTAAACAAGAATGGGTATTGTAAATGCTTTTAGAGCAATTATTGAAATAAGAGTTTTTAGTAGTTTAATCTTTAATATGATAAAATAAATTTTTGGATGTTGCATTATCTCTGCATTCCGGGATAAATCCAGTTTAATCATAAAAATAACTTTGCTAGAGTTAGTTTGCTAATATTTTGGGTTTTCTGCACTAATACTCATATATGAGATTGGCCTATAGATTTTGTTATGTGGTATTCTTACTTGGTTTTACTACTGAGGTTCTGTGAAGTTTTATAAATAATCAGAAAGATTTGTCTTACTTATCTCAAAACATATTGTAAATTAACATCATAGTGTTCTAATCAGAATTTGAAGATTTTGGGGAGTTCCCTGGTTGCCGAGGGATTAGAATTCCAGGCTGTCACTGCTGTGGCCTGAGTTCAACCCCTGGTGGGCGAACTGAGATCCCACAAGCCATGCAGTTCAGTCAAAAAAAACAAAACTTGCAGATTTTCAGTAATCTTTATTTTCTTTTCTAGAATATTCCAGACAGAGTCTCATATGAAAATAGTGAAAAAGTCAGAAATTTCAGGTAAATTTGTTCTGCAACCTCTACTAAGTCTGTTTTCTGTATGATTATGCTGTGGTTATGTAACCAGATAACTGGTATAACTTAATATCTATCTTATTGCTTAAAAAGTGTAACTTGAGCTGTGAGGGGCCGAATGTAAGGTGTGGCATTAGTATTTTTTTATTGTTGTTAATGTCCTTATGTAATTTTTCAAATACTTTATTACTGTATTTTTAAAAAACTTTAATAACCTTTTCTCTATTTATAGAAACAGAGGCAGGAGAAAATACCCTATTTATACAGTAAGTAAAAAAAGTGTGATGCAAATTATACTTTAAATGTTTATTTCTATTATTTAAAAGTGCTTTTAAAGTTAATATTCTTTTTTTTATTTTAATTCCCTTTTGTGTAATACTTAAGATTAATTCTCAAAACATGTTATTAACATAATAATTTAATATAGTGCCATGGCTGTTGAGTATAGCTTATCCTCTTATGAGGGATGAAACATTCTACTTTCATATGTAAATCCTTAAAATACATCTGCTAGTGGAAAACAGTAAATACCAGGTCTTCAGATTTTTTTCATTAAATGTTTTTCTTATTATAATATTAATTCAAAAATTAAATAGCCATAGAACTTGAACAGATGGAAAGATGTTTATCTTCCTCTTTAGCGAACTATAACTTAGGCTATATTGAGATATAATGTTTACCTAATCAATTAAGAATCTAGGTAAAAAGTCATTCATTGCTAGTAGGTAAATATTATAGAGGGCTTCCTGGGTGGCACTACTGGTAAAGAATCTGCTTGCCAGTGCAGGAGACACAAGAGACTTGAGTTTGATCCCTGGGTCGGGAAGATCCTCTGGAGAATAATATGGTACCCCACTTCAGTATTCTCACCTGTAGAATCCCTGTTGGATTACAGTTCATGGAGTCAGACATGACTAAGCATCTGAGCATATACTGTAGAAGACAATTGGCAGTGTTATTCCAAATTTTAACTTCACATGCTCTTTGGCACAGAGATTTCATGTAAGATACGAAAGATTCTAAAGGTCTATCACTAAGAAGTTGGTTAAATAAATACCAGTTTTTCCATGTAATTGACTAGAATTGAGCTAGAAGGAAAAGATTCTCTGTATATACTTATACAGAAAAATCTCTAGGCCATATTACTCAGGCTTCTCACAGATAAACACTATTGATAATTTTGGATGTCCTTGCAGAAATTTTATATATATATCTAACTACATGTTAATCTTTAGCTTTAAAAAAAAAAAAGACAAAAATGGGGTCACTTAATGTCTTGTAGCACTTTCCATGTTGTTACATATAGGTCTACCTCAGTCTTTTATAATATGCTGTATGTCAGCACCAGTGTTTAGTAAGCTCCCCATTGATGGACATTTGGGTTGCTTCATTTTACTTACCTTTTTTTCCTAGAAAATGAGCTGCTTTAAAGGTCATTCTTCTCCCAAAAAAAGGGAATTCCCTGATGTTCAGTGGTTAGGACTCCATGCTTCCACTGCAGGGGGCATGAGTTCAATCCTTGGTTGAGGAGCTAAGATCCTGCAAGCCACAAGGCACAGCCAAAAAATTTAAGGGAAAAAAAAAAGGAAATAAAAAGCAAGCAGCATATGTTAAGCATATTTTTATGGTGTTCTTGATATTTAAATTTCTGAAAAAATTTAATGGTAAGTTCCTTTAATTGCCTTGTCATTTTTTCTGCCAGATTAGCTGTGCTCAGTTGCTAAGTCATGTCCAGTTCTTTGCGTCCCTGTGGACTGTAGCGTGCCAGGCTTCTCTGTCGATAAGAGTTTTGAGGCAAGAATAATGAAGTGGGTTGCCATTTCCTTCTTCAGGGGATCTTCCTGACCCAGGGATCAAACCCACATCTCCAGGGGCATCTCCTGCATTGGCAGGTGTATTCTTTACCACTGATCTACCTGGGAAGCCCACTTATTAGAAGAGTCTTTTTTAAAAGATGTCTTTGAAGTTTTCTGCCAGTCATCCTATGAAAACATTTCACCTTCCCTCCTCTTTCAACTGTTGGGATTCTTGGTAATTGTCTGGAGTATAGATTTTTAAATTACTTATTAATTTTTAGGAATAAGAATCCAGAAGATAACTACTGTGAGATAACTGGTGAGTATGATCAGAATACTTTTCTTCTCATCATGTGTTTTTCTCTTCATCTAGATTCCTTAAAAAGTAATATTTAAGAGTACCATGAACAAAAAATGTAGAGGGTGTATTCATCTTTACACAAGCTCTTTAATTTAAAATTTAACTGACTTAACTAATATTTCTCTCAAACCTGCTATTCCTCATTTCTATGTTGAACTCCCACTCAGTCACTCACTCAAGTCAGGAATTGAGTCGTTTTTTAACTTTTCCTTCTTTCCATATATCCTTTTTGACCTATCCTCTTTCAGTTCTGTCTTTGAAGTATCTTGCCTATCTGTTACTTATTCTCTGTACCTTCTGCCAGTATTTGAATTCAAATCCTCACTTGAATTATTTTTTGGACTATTGTATTTAGTTTCTTATCCTTCTAATTCATTCTATGTATTTTGAAATCTTATTGTATTACTGCCCATACTAAAATTGTTCAAAAGACACTATTTTGCTTACAGGATAAAACCCATACTCCTTAGCATAAACTTAGAAAGCCTTTTATAATTTCACTTGTCTTTTTCTCCAACTTTATCTCCAGCCCTTTACAGGCATATTTTGCTCTGGCCCATAAATAACTACTTGCATTTTCCAGTGTGGTCTTTTTTCTGACTGTGTCCATTTGTAAATGCTATTTCCTTTACCTAAAGAGATCTTCCTAATCCAATTTGTCTAACAGTCTTCTCATCTTTCACTTAACTTAGCTTTTCCCTTAGCTTAAGTGCCATTCAAAGTAGCCAGTCCACAAACTGTTACAGTCCGTGATAAGAAAGAAACTTGCACTATGGTAGTAACCTACTGTTTAGTTAGTGATTTTTTTTTCTTAGTAAAGCTTTACTGATGAAAGGAATTTTACAGTGGCTGCAAGCTCCTTATATTAAATTAATTGATATTAAACAGTTCACAGACTGACACCATACATTAAGTGGTACTGGCTTAAATTGAGCCTTCTCTATCAAAACCAAGCAGTTACTCTGATGTGTGCTCTCAAAATACCCTTTTTATTTTTCAGTCTACTGTAGAATTTATCATATTGTATTTTAGGTATTTCTTTTTGGCTCTTTTATTAATCTAGAAATTCTTTGAGTCCAGAAACTTTGTCTTGTTTTTTTGTGCTTTGGCATATAGTTGAGTTTGGGGGCACATATATGTTCTGAATCAATATTTGTTAAATAAATGACAAGAATGCAAGCTTGATATGTAAATAAGGCTTTAATAAAAAGCACATAATTACTTCATTATATTCAGTCACTGTTGCCATAAACTATTGAAAATACTCTAAAGATTTGTCTTCAACGTTAAGTGTTTTTAGATATATTTCTTGTTTTATTATAGCATCTTCAATCACTTCCTTTTTTCCAGTTTGTCCCCCAAAACTTTATATTTCAGTTCTAAAGTGTCTTGAATCTAATCTCTTGTTTCTGTTCTTACTCTCTGTTGCCCTAACACAAGTTCAACTCTCTACAGTATTACATCTGAACTATTAGAGTAGCTTCCTCATTGGTTCATCTTCTCTTGAATCTATTTTCTTCCCTTGAATTATTTTTATAAATGTACATCTCATCTGGGAACATCTAGATTCCTTAGCATAAAATAAGAGATGCTTAAAATCTTACCCTAACAGGGACTTCCGTGGTGCTCCAGGGGCTAAGACTCCATGTTCCCAATGCAGGAGGCCCAGGTTTGATCGCTAGTCAGGAAATCAGGTCCCACATGCTGCAACAAAGATCATGTGTGCCATAACTAAGACCCAGTGGAGCCAAATAAATACATTTTTTTAAATAAAAATCTTACCCTAACATTTCAGTCTTAGCAGTTGGTACTCTTTAGTGTGTAACTTCTACTGTCCAGGAAATAAAAATGGAGATGTGAAGGAGGAAAAAAATTAATCCATACTTTCCATCTTTAGAATCCCACCTTTAAAAATTTCTACCATGTTCTAAAAATATTTCAGTATGCAGAGAATACAGTAATCACTGGTCTGTCTGTTTCTAAAGTGGGACAATTTGAAAGTATCAGTAAAATTTAATACCTAAGTCTTTAGGAAGGACTTAGTAACTGAAAAAACTTTAGTAAATACTTGTAACTGATGAAACTCCTACGAACAGAAAAATTAGGCTCTTGGTGATAAATACTTTTGTCATGACTATAGTTTTTCTTTTTACTCAATAGGAATGAACACATTGCTTTGTGCTCCCATTCAGACCCAGATGCCCCAGAGAGAGGTATGAGTTCATTCAAATGCCTTCATATTTTAATTTTGTTTGATAGTTGAAACTTTTAAAACACAAAAAAATTTAATGTTAATGACATGATTTAGAAATTACTTACCAGAATGGACCAACATAGACTGGAAAAGCTACCTACCTTTCCAGTTAACTTGCTCTTCAGTTGCTAAGTCACGTCTAACACTTTGCAACCCCATCAACTGCAGCACACCAGGCTTCCCTGTCCTTCACTATCTCCCAGTTAACTAAGTATAGTTAAATCACTTCCAGTTTAAATAATACAGAAATATGTTAATTATATCAGGAATTCTCAAACTTTATGAGGCATATGGATAATCTCAGAATTTGGTTAAAATATAGATTCTTATCCCCTAGGTCTGGGATAGGTCCTGAACTTCTATACTTCTCTCCCAGGTGATAGTAATGCACTGGTCCACAGACCATATTTTGAGTAGCAGAGTTAGACCATGTCTTTACAAGTAAAACCACTGCATTCAAAGGGAACTCAACCCCGAAGAACTTAGAGTGTACTATAATTTAGCCATCATGCACTTACTCCTTCTAAGTTTTTTTTTTTACTTAGAATGAGAATGACCTATCTAATATAATTTTCACTTCAGTTACATTTGGTATTGTCAGTCTTTTCATTTTTAGTCATTCTAGAGGGTGTATAATTAACCTTATAATTAATGGTTAATTATAATTAACCTTCAAAAACTGCAAGTATTCATAGACTTTAAAAAAAAATTTTAATAATAAATTACATGCTGCTCACCACACCAATGATTCACACAAACCAATGTATCATGAAACCATCATTTAGGATTGCTCATATAATCTTTCTGTATAGTACATGTTATAAAATACCCTTTCAGAAGTTTGCACTTTATCTGATCTCTTATATTTTGCTTTTGCTGTAGATTTCAATTACAGAATACAGCCATGAAAGGAAACATGCAAATGACCAAACAGTCATCTTTTCAGATGAAAACCAGATGGACCTGACAGCAAGTCACACTGTGATGATTTCCAAAGGCCATTTAGATTGTACCAAAAGTGAGAAGTCCACCAAGATAGATACTACATCATTTCTGGCTAACTTAAAACTCCACACTGAAGATTCAAGAATGAAGAAAGAATTACATTTTTCTGTAGATCAAAACACTTCTTCAGAAAAGAAGATAAATTTCAATGACTTCATAAAAAGATTGAAAATAGGAAAATCAAATGCTTCTCCTTTTATAGGACCTGATAAAGAAAATTCTGAGATGCCTATTCATTCCAAAGAAGCAAATAAGACCACTTCTGTCCATCAAATGCATGTATCTCTTGGTGTAGATGAAAATACCAGTAATATGACTAGACTCCTTAGAGAACAAGATGATGGAATGAATTTTACCCAGTGTCATACAACCAATATTCAGACTTTTGTTCCCACATCCAATGAGGCCAGCTTACGGGAATTTAAAGGTGATGATATTACAGTTTATGGCAATGACTTCATGGACTTGACAATTAGCCACACTGTACAGAAGTTACCTTCAACAGATAATCTGTCTGAAATAGAAAATCAAACTCAGGATGTCATGATGGATGTTTCAACTTGTTATGAAACTAAAGCACTAGAACAGAAGACAGTCTTTAAGGATAAACCGAATGATGCTTTCCAAGACCTTTCCTTAAATCCTAAAGGTAACATACATATGATCAGAAGTCATATTGCAGGGACAGAAATTCAAACAGTCACACAGGCTACCAACCAGGATATCAGACCATTGGCCATGATCCCAGAATCTAAATGTTCTGATCCAACTATTCAAGATGATAAGACATTTTTATATTCTAGTTGTAATGATGCCATGGAACTGACCAAGTGTCACTCAAGTATGAGAGAGGAGAAGAATTTGGTAAAGCATGACAGTAATTATTCTAAAATGTATCCCAATCCAGATGGCAACTCTCTTCTCAGAGAAAAAACTGTTTATTCAGGAGAAGATAGCATGGACATTACCAAGAGTCACACAGTTAAAATAGATAATCAAATTTTTAAACAAGTTCAGACAAATGTACAGAAAGCAACTGCACCAGTATCTGAAAAAGAAATGATGATCCAAAATCACATAATTGTGTCAGAGAATTGGGACATAAATGTAAATTGTCGTTCCGTTCCTCTTGTATCTAAGGAAAGATTACAGCAGAGCCCGGAAAATCCTTTATTTATTTCATTGACTGACAAAAGGACTGAAATCTTCATAGATGAAGATATGGATTTGACTAAAAGTCACACAGTTAATTTAGGAAGTCAGTTTCCTCTTGCATCTTGCAATGTAACATCTGAGAATACCAGTAAATCTCACTGTCACAGCAAAAGCCTTTCAAATGAATGGGGAAAAATGACCAAAGATCATATTGACCTATCCCAACAACAAAACATAATATCTAAGAACATCCCTGCTAATACCTGGGAGAAAGAAAAAAGTCAAGTTTTGAAGATTTCACCCTATCTTGATAAAGATTCTCCTCAGTCACCTGATATTAACCAGGACATAGCAACAAAACATAATATAGTATACTTTTGTGAAGATCTTCACAAACAGGTACCACTGGGAAATAACAGAAATACAATTTCATGTGAGCAAGCTTTGTTTCCTACTACAAAGCCATTATTTTCATCAAGAGGACAGCCTGCCATCAGAAATCATAATGTTGTTAACAGTCAAACAGTAAAATCTGTACTAGGCCAGAATTCTAAACTGCCTGAGCCACTAAGGAAAAGTTCAGGTAATCCCATTCCTGACTGTTCTGACAAGACAGTTATTTGTTCAGAGAAGGAAGAAAATATGGATCTAACCAAGAGTCACACTGTTATTACTGGATTTAGTCCTTCTGAAGTACTAGAACTAAGTAAGACTAATTTAGAAAACACTAACAGCCAGTTATCAACAGTAAACAGACAGAAAGCTCTAAAAGTTGAAAAATGTAATGAAAGTCCTATAGAAAAAATGGGAGTGTTTATTTCTAATGGTATCATGGATGTGTTGGAGGACAAAAATGTGCAGAAATCCGGAATTCTGAATGAAAAACAAGATGTCAAAATTTGTGGAAGAAAAAGTCTTGGCAGACTAAAAGTTGATAAGACTGTTGTATTTTCAGAGGGAAATGAGAATGATATGGATATCACCAAGAGTTGTACAGTGGAAATAAGTCATAGACCTTTACTAGATGAACATGATTCCCATTTGGTGCCTTTGACAGGAAATTCTAACACTGTTTTGTATGCATGTGGGCAAGATGACATGGAGGTCACCAGAAGTCACACAACTGCTATAGAATGTAAAACTGTCTCACCAGATAAAACAACTACTAGGGCTGTGGACAAAACTGTAATGTTTGTAGATGATCATGATGAACTAGAAATGACAAAGTCCCATACTATTTTCATTGACTGCCAAGCAAAGGAGAGAACTGTGCTTCCAGACAGACCAAACTTTGAACTATCCAAAAGAAAAAGCCTCGAAAAATCAAAAGTGACCCCTACTTCTACTGAGGAGAGTGTTTTTTTCCCGCAAAATGTCGAAAGGGATCATTCAGTCGCAAAAGTCAGCCAGCTAACACTACCAGGGAAATGGTCTAATCATGGTCCTTTAGAGAAAGCTGAAGCATTTATAGCTGATGATAACATGGAAGTGTCTAAATCAACCATTTGGAAAAATGACAGAAATGTACAAAAGCCTGTATTTCTGAATGAACCTCTATCATGCAAAAATCAGAGAAGGAAAAGCCTTAGACTCAGAAATGACACGACCATTGCATTTTCAAAGAATGATAAAAATGATATGGATGTCATCCAGTGTTGTACAGTGGAAATAAATAACAAAAGTGTCCTGGAAGATAGAGAGGACTCCCATTTGCTCCCTTTGGAAGGAACTTCTAATACTGTTTTGCATACATGTGGACAGGATGATATGGAGATCACCAGAAGTCACACAACTGCCTTAGAATATAAACCTCTCTCACCAGATAAAATAACCACTAGGACTACAGACAAAACTGTTATGTTTGTAGATAATCACAGTGATCTGGAAGTTACTAAGTCCCACACTGTTTTCATTGATTGTCAAGCCACGGAGAAAATACTTAAAGAGTGCTCTGCATTTGGAATAGCAAAAGAAAAAACCTTGGGTGTTTCTTTTCCACAGGATGGTAATTCTATTCAAGAAGTCACTAAAAAACAAGCACTGGCTGTAGAAAACAAAATCATTCTTCACAGTGAGCAAAAGCATAATGTGATACCCTTTGTTCCTACTAATACATTGTCTGGCCGTCAAGGTGAGACAGATGTCAGATTCCATAGCACTTCTGTAGATGAAGAAGTCATGAAAGTTGTAGGCCAGGCCTATACATTGGAAAAACCCAAAATTGAAAGCTGTCAGTTAAATAGTACAGATAGAAGAAATGTGGATTTTACAAGCAGACCTGCAACTGCTGTTTGTGGATCTGCTGATAATTATTCTTGTTTACCTAATGTTACTTCATTTTTTGGTAATTTGGAGAAGAACGTCATGTCCTTATGTGATAAAGATGAAGATTTAAAAGCCAGTCATTGCCCAGTGCAAAATGATCTTCCTTATGCAAACAATTCAGCCAGTGATGATGATTTGAAATCTGAGGGACTGCCTCTTTCTGCTCCTTGCTTGTTAGAGAAGGAGAAAGTTGTTCAAACCAATACCCAAGGACAGTTACATTGTGTCCCCAAAATGCTAAAAGATCAAGATCTGATTAAGGAGCCCCCAAATCTAATATCAAATGAAACTTTAGTATATGGTGAAGATTTGGGGGAGATGACTAAACTTAACTCAAAGCCAGTGTCTTTTAAACTTCCAAGGGATCAAATGGAGCCCTCTGTTCATAAGGCAGAACAGAATTTAAAGAAGACTTTTGTTGATGATGTTTGTGTTGCTTCTCAGCATCATCTATTAACCCAACTACCTCCATTACCTCAACAAGGACAGAATATTGTCAATAAAGATGAAGCAATATTGTCTAAAGCTGGAAATAATTTAAATATTGTTAGAGGAAATTCCTCTGAACCCACATGTGAAAACGATTCCACAATGCTCTATAATGGGAAACAGTTTACTGTGGCCTATAGAAAAGAACCAAAGAAAAATATTCAAACAGCTAAATGTAATACAGCTATAGATTTCCACAGTAACTCAGCCTTGACTAAGCAAGTTACTCAGACTCTTATCAATCCTCGAGAAGCATCAGATCCTGTAATTGCATCCAGTGTTGCAACTTGTAGTGTCAAACCAAATCTGAATAACTTAAATGGAAAAACTGAAGAATTTTTAGATTTCCAACCAGTTCGTTTACCACCTTCTCCAGAACAGTTACTTAAATTAGTAAATAAGGCACACGGTGATATGAGTATAGTGCAAGCTACAGAAATACATAATGTTAACATAGTGTCTAGCAATGTTAAAGATGATAGAGATGAAGAAAATAAAGTTCCACGTAATGGAGCTGAAACCACCTCTGTATCATTAATGACAACTGTAAAAGATAAAATGAGGAGATGTTCTTTGGGAATATTTTTGCCCAGATTGCCAAACAAAAGAAATTGTAGTGTCACTGGTATTGATGATCTGAAGCAGGTTCCAGCAGACACAACTGATTTAAATCACTTAGAAACTCAGCCGGTTTCCAGTAAGGATTCAAGCATTGGAATTGTTACAGCTAAACTGAACTTAAGTCCATCTCAATATATAAATGAGGAAAATCTCCCTATATGTCCTGGTGAGATTAATTCCTCAGACTCTATCAGCATAGATACTGAGGAAAAGGCTTTGACTGAGACATACCAAAAAGAGACTTCACCCTCTGAAAATAAAATGGAAGAAACCTGCAATAGCCAAAAAAGAACCTGGGTACAAGAAGATGATGATGATATTCAGAATGAGAAAAAAATCAGAAAAAATGAAATTGGGTTTAGTGATACTGCCCAAGATCAGGAGGTAAGCCCTGTCTTGAACTAAGAAATGTTCTTGATTGTCCTTTTTTAAATTATGAGTATTCTTGAATTTTAATTTTAGTGTTAGGTAAGCAGGAATTGATTATTTCCAGTTATAGGCCTGGAGAAATATTCCTGTATAAAATCTTAAAGAAGTTAATTGACTAACAGGTAGACTTAAACACAATGACAAATGGTCACAAAAAATGAAATGGGAAGTAGAAAAAATTAATATTGATTGTGTAATTATACATATTCTGTCACTTCTAGGGGCTTACCTGGCAGTCCACTGGTTAAGACTTCACCTTCCAATGCAAAGGATGCAGGTTCAATCCCTGGCCTGGGAGCTGGGGTCCCATATACCTTGCGACCGGAAAACCAAAACATAAAACAGAAACAATATTCTAACAAATTCAATAAAGACTTTAAAAATGGTCCACATCAAAAAAAATTTTTTTAAATAAATACATATTCTGTCACTTCTAGTGATTTGTCATTGTGACTTTGCCTATAAAAATCTCTAGGCAGGGTACATGGAGTTTGATAAGTCATCTTCAGTGTTAAAATGTTTGGAGGATAAAAAGATTTATTATGCAGATTGCATAAAGAAAAGATGAACTGAATATTCTTGACTAATAAAAATAAGTAGAAGCTGAGAGTCCATTTCTTTTGAGGATGGGAGAATGCTTAGATCAAACCCAGTACCTCAAGGTGAAGTAAGATTTTGTGTTTATTTAAAAACACTGATTTGGATAACTTGGGGAGAATACAGGCTTCCCTGGTAGCTCAGCTGGTAAAGAATCCTCCTTGCAATGCAGCGGACCCCTATTCGATTCCTGAGTCAGGGATATTCCCTGGAGGAGGGATAGGCTACCCACTCCAGTATTCATGGGCTTGTAATTTAAACTGAGTGGAGAAATAAAGACTAGAAAGTATCATAAATTCATAGAAACAAAGTTTAAATTCTGTTAAGTTTGTAAGTAAGCTTAGAAGATGATTTCAGTTACATGAAAATGGCAGATAGAAGATGGTTTCAGATAAATGAAAATGACAAGTCTGTAAAGTAAAATAGTTAAAATGGTAAAACCAGGACTATGTGACTTATTTAACTTCAACCAAAGGAGTCTTGGTCATCTGGGGAAGGAAATACTAAAGCCTAGAAATAAATTTTTTCTCTGTACTCTAGATAGGGCTATCTTGTATAGTCAGTATTCTCTTCTGTTTTCTACAGTGTGGTAGCCCTGACCCTCATGTCTAATAGATGAATAACTGGATAGGTCAACATTTGGTAGCTCATAGGATCTGGTTATAACCTGGATACCGCTGAGAAAGAGTTTTCTTATATAGTATAATGCATGATGTTATTTCATTATATTTTTAAATAAAATTACTTTGAACTCTAAAAGCCTACTAAACTGCTTGTTACTTATTCTGATTCTTTACTAAAGTATTTTATATGGTTACAGATAAATTTAATGTTAGAAGTATTTCTCTTAGCACTCAGCATTTAGTCATTATAATTAATAGTGTCATAACTTTACTCTTATGATGTTCCTTTATTGATGATTTCAGATTTCTGACCTCCATGCTGAAGGAGATATGGATAAAAATGCTAACAGTGTATTGATAAAAAGCCTGAGCAGAACCCCATCTAGTTGTAGCAGTTCTCTGGATTCAATCAAGGCTGATGGGACCTCTCTGGACTTAAGCAGTAAGATTTTAATGAAGGCTAAATAAGAGAAATCATCTGTTACTTGACTAATAATACATGTATTTCAGTTCAGGAGATATTTGAAATTTGTATAAGCTTTTTGGGAGTTATAAATAGTTGATAAGTAAAATAATATTTAGCTTATTTTTAATTCTTAGTTGTTTTAATAAATTGAGAAGTGTTATATTACAAGAGTGATTTTCTTAAGAAGCTTAAAATTAGTAGAAAAACATATATGGAGCCTTAAAACTAATATACTTTACCCTACAAATGACTGTCTTCCCAGAAGGATCCTAGCAGATAGCTTCAAGAGCATGAACCACACATAAACCTGAACAATAATTAAAATTAAGTTTACAATTTAACTTGTTCATCACTTGAATTTGCTTTACTTTTAGCACACCTTGGTAGTCAAATAGAATCACAGTTTCTCAGAGATACCGTTTGTGAAGAGAGCTTGAAGGAGGTATGAAAGTATTTCTCTTTTTTAAAAATAATTTTATTTATTTATTATTTTGGCTGTGCTGGGTCATCTTTGCTTTGTGCAGGCTTTTTTCCAGTTTTGGCAAGCAGGGGCTACTCTCTGGTTGTGGTGCACGGGCTTCTCATTACGGCAGTCTCTCTTGTTGAGCACAGGCTTGAGGATGCGCAGGCTTCAGTAGTTGTGGCTTGTGCGCTTAGTTGCTTCGCAGCATGCGGGATTGTCTCGGATCTGGGATAGAACCTGTGTCTCCTGCATTAATAGGAGGATTCTTTACCACTGAGCCACCAGGGAAGCCCCTATTTCTCAAATGCAACTGATTTTCTCATTTTATTTTCTCTTGTTTAATTTTTTTGAATTATGAAATATTTCAACTATACAGAACACTAGTTTTCATTTTTTTTGTTAAGGACAGGACATGGCAATTATGTGGAGTAGAATCACAGTTGGAAGGCCTACATTTTGTTGTTTTTCCCCCAATTTTACTATTACTGAATAAACTTAAGAATATTAGATGAAATCTGCTTGTGTATAGGCTACATCAGAATAATATTTACACAAATATGCAAAGTACTTTAAGCTATATAGAAACAAAGGAGGTGGTTCTAGTCAAAATTGCTCGTACAAACTTTGAGCAGTGGTCAAAGTTTGAGCAATGGTCAAGTTTTACCTTGAATGGTCATCCTTTATTGATGATTTTTTTTCTTTTTCTTTTCTTTTTCTTCTTTTTTCTTTCCTCAGAAACTCAAAGATGGAAGAATAACAATAAAGGAGTTCTTTATACTTCTTCAGGTCCACATTCTGATACAGAAACCCCGACAGAGCAATCTTCCAGCCAAAGTAAGTACAATTCCTTGGCAAAATAGTCATCTCAGTTAAAATATATTGTAATTGTTTACTAAACTGTATCAAAGCAAGTGTTTATTAAAAAACAAAAAAAGAATCTAAGGAAGCAAATTTTCCTACAGAAAATTTTGCTATGGAAGGTACTTTTGGGGTTAGCATAAAAATTGATTTTTTAAAAATACAAATTTTTAAAAGGTGGAGGTTTTTTTTCATTTCTTGCCATCTGTTTTGTTTTTTATACTTTTTCCTGAACATATGCTTTCCCCCATTATTATAGAAACCCAAGTATAGCAGAGGTTTTAATAAACATTTTTCAATATAAAAAATATTTAAAATCATAGAATACTTAAATAATGCAACCAAGAAACTTAGTTTAAAAGATTAATAGAAAACTCATCATTTACATATAAAATTACATAGTATTTTTTTTAACTTAAGTCTGTTGAACATTTACAAAAATTAGGTATGCCCTTGATCACAAAGAAAAACATGAGAAATTAAAAATGGAGATTTCCTGGACATCATCTGATCTTAATCCAATAAAATTAGAACTATTAAAAACACAAACATCTTGGAAATTAAGAAACACATTTCTAGATAATTCATATCAAAGAGGAAAGCAAAACTATTTAGAAAGCGAAGGAGAACAATCTATAGGATATACAACAAAGCATACACTTAGCAGGAAATTAAAAGCCTCAGATACCATTGTTAGAGAATCTAAAAATTAAGGACTATTTAATACTTTAAGAAATTGGAAAATGAACAATAAAATGACATCTGTAAAAAAGGTAGGAAGACAGAATTCAGGTGAATAGTAAATTAATAAAATTGAAAACAAAAACTAGTAGAAAAGATAACAGATCTAAAAATTGGTACTTTGGGGGGATTCCCTGGTAGTCCAGTGGTTAGGACTCTGTGTGCTCTCTGCCAAGGGTTAGGGTTCCATCTCTTGTCAGAAAGATAAAATGAAGCATTTAGTGCTTCATTTATTGGTGCAATGCAGCTAATAAAATAAAAACTGGTACTTTGAAAAGACAATTAAAAAAACTCTTAAAGAGCTTAGTTAAGTCAAAGGAAGGCTTCTCCCTGTGGTCCAGTGTATAAGAATCCCCCTTGCAATGCAATGGACACCGGTTCAATCCCTGGTCTGGGAAGATCCCATGTGCCTCAGGGCAGCGGAGCCCCTGCGATGCAACTACTCTGCAATGCACTACTCTAGCCAGTGCTCTAGAGTCCATGAACTATTAACTGCTGAGCCCATGTGCTACAACTACTAAAGCCCATTAACCTTGAGCCCATGCTTCCCAACAAGAGAAGGAAGCCACTGCAATGAGAAGTCCATACTCGACAACTAGAGAAAGCCTGTGTGCAGCAGCAAAAACACAACTCAGCCAAAAATAAATCTAAAAAAAGGGGAGAGAGAAAGCTAAAATACATATGATTGAGAAAGACACATCCACAGATTAAAGGGAAGATTAAAAGAATTTTTTTAATCCTTCAACTGTGATGACAACTTTTAAGACCTAGATGATTTTTTAGAAAAATACAAATTACCAAAATTAACCCAAGAACTGGATAACTCTCATTGACTACCATTGAATATTTGTTTTGGCTATACCACCTGACTTGCAGGATCTTAGTTCCCTGACCAGGGACTGAACTCACACCCTTTGCCATGAAAGTGAGGAGTCCTAACCACTGGACCACCAGGAAATTCCCACCATTGAAATTTTTAGTTTGCAATTTACCATTAAAATTGTCACTAGGGCCAGATGACTTCTAACTTTTAAAGACATTTATGACAAAGATGCCCCTGTAGAATAGTGGCCTTTCCTATAAATGGTGCTGAATCAGTTGGCTATCTACAGGAAAAAAATGAACCTTGATCCATACTTCACATTATACATTAAAAAAAAAAAGTCAATCCTATACAACACCAAAGCACAAATGCCAAAATTAAAAATTGGACTTCATCAAAATTTAAAAATTGTGTGCAAATGATACCATCAAGAAAGGGCATACGCAACCCACAGAACAGGAGAAAACATTTGCAAATCACACATCTTAGCCGTGTATCCAGAATATTTAAAGAACTCTTAGAACTCAAAAAAATAACCCAATTGGGGATTTCCCTGGTGGTCTAGTGACTAAGGCTCAGCGCTCCCAACTCAAGGGGCCTGGGTTAAATTCCTGGTCAGGGAACTAAAACCCATGTGCTGCAACTAAGACCCAGTGCAACCAGATAAATAAAAATAATTAAAAAAAAAAAAGATAACCCTATTAAAAAATATCAAAGGATCAAAATAGACATTTCTCCAAAGAAGATATGTGAATGGCCAATTAGCAAAACAGTGATAAAGGAAGTACAAATTAAAATAAGTTACCACTTCACACCCACTAGGATGCCTATAGCTGAAAAGACAAAATAACAAGTGCTGGCAAGGATGTGAAGAGGCTGGAATTTTCATACATTGCTGGTAGACTTGTAAAGTGGGGTAGCCACTTGGGAAGAGCTGGATATTTCCTCAAAAAGTTAAACAGAACTTTTATATGATCCACCAATTCCAATTCTAGGTATTTACCTAAGATAATTGAATATGTACCTCTGCACAGAAACTGGTACATGAACATTATTCATAATAGCCAAAAAGTGAACTGATTAGTGGTTACTTGAGGCTAAGATAGGGGTGGAGGAGCAGAAAGGTTGCTGTCAGGTTAGAAGAGTGGAGGATATCTGGGAAGCTAATCTTTGAGGGATGAATCAAGGGAATATTAGTATGAATTAGTATGACTCTTCCCCTTTGGTCTCAGGCTTTGTAGAGGTCAGGAAAGGCAGTGTTAGGGAAATATATCTGGGAAAGAACCATCAAGAGGGTAGGACAAATCAACCATACTTCAGTAAAATTAAAAAAAAAAAAGACGGTAAGAAGAGTTCATGCTATCTCAGGAAAGAAATTTAAAAATCCCAAAGTAGGGACTTCCCTGGCAGTCTAGTATTTAAGACTTCATGCTTCCAGTGCAGGAGGCACAAGTTCCATCTCTGGTTGGGGAGCTAAGATCACACATGCTGTGTGGTGCAGCCAAAAGAAGTATTTAAAAAAAAAAATCCAAAAGTAGGGAAGGGCCAAAGAAATGGGTATTGTATGGGCTGTGGAAAAGGAGGTTCACAACTATGGGCATCTGTTACAGGATTTAGATGACCATGAATCTCCTTTAGTGTGGAACTGGGGAGGCATTCTTGAGGCAGACAGGGAGGTGTATGTTTGGCACCCATGTGTGTATGCAGTTGCAGGAGTTCAGCTGGTAGTACCAGCTAAAGATACTATGTAGAGATACCATATCGCTATATTGTGTAAGAAGAACTAATAACATAGTATTGTAGGTCAGTTATTTTTCAAAAACAAACAAACTCATAAAAAATGAGATCAGATTTGTTGTTTACCAGAGGTGGGGATGAGGAGAGGGGGAATTGGATGAAGGCAGTCAAAAGGTACAAACTTCCAGTTATAAAATAAATAAGCACTAGGGATGTAAAGTACAACATGATAAATATAATTAACACAGTTGTATGTTGTATATGAAAGTTGTTAAGAGAAAATCCTAAGAATTGTCATCACAAGGAATATTTTTTTCTGTTTCTTTAGTTTTGTATCTGTATGAGGTGATCATTCAGTCAGTTCAGTCACTCAGTCGTGTCTGACTCTTTGCAATCCAGGGACTGCAGCACACCATACTTCCCTGTCCATCACCAACTCCCAGAGCTTACTCAAACTCATATCTATCTAGTTGGTGATGCCATTCAACCATCTCATCCTCTGTCATCCCCTTCTCCTCCTGCCTTCAATCTTTCACAGCATCAGGGTCTTTTCCAATGAGTCAGTTCTTCGCCTCAGGTGGCCAAAGTATTGGAGTTTCAGCTTCAGCATCAGTCCTTCCAATGAATATTCAGGACTCATTTCCTTTAGGATGGACTGGTTGGATCTCCTTAGAGTCCAAGGGATTCTCAAGAGTCTTCTCCAACACCATAGTTCAAAAGCATCAGTTCTTCTGCATTCAGCTTTCTTTATAGTCCAACTCTCACATCCATACATGACTACTGGAAAAACCATAGCTTTGACTAGACAGACTTTTGTTGGCAAAGTAATGTCTCTGCTTTTTAATATGCTGTCTAGGTTGGTCATAGCTTTTCTTCCAAGAAGCAAGTGTCTTTTAATTTCATGGCTGTAGTCACCATCTACAGTGATTTTGGAGCCCCCCCCCCCAAAAAAAAATCTCTCACTGTTTCCATTATTTCCCCATCTATTTGCCATGAAGTGATGGGACCAGATGCCATGATCTTAGTTTTCTGAATGTTGAGTTCTAAGCCAACTTTTTCACTGTCCTTTTTCACCTTCATCAAGAGGCTTTTTAGTTCTTCTTCACTTTCTGCCATAAGGATGGTTATCTGCATATCTGAGGTTATTGGTATTTCTCCCTTCAATCTTAATTCCAGCTTGTGCTTCATCCAGCCCGGCATTTCGCATGATGTACTCTGCATATAAGTTAAATAAACTGGGTGACAGTATACAGCCTTGATGTACTGGTTCCTGATTTGGATGGTTCCATGTCTAATGTTCCATGTGATAGATGTTCACTAAACTTGTGGTAATCACTTCATGATGTATGTAAGTCAAGTCATTATGCTATAAATCTTAAACTTAACACAGTGCTATATGTCAATTATATCTCAATAAAACTGAGAGAAAAAAAGGTTCTATGTTAGTGTCCCATGACTTCCTGCATGCCCAAGGAGTGCTTCATACCAAAATACTCCCTTTCAGTGCAGCTGTGAAACTACTGCAGGTACCCTTACCAGGCCTGAAATATCTAAGAGCTGATAGTGCATAAACTGGGCACTTAATCAAAATAGATGAGGCAAGGGAAGGGAGTGACTTGTGCATGTAGGCCTGGATGCAGGGAGCAGCAGTTTAACCCATGTGTTGCATTCCAGCATCGGCAGTTGCATTCAGCTGTATCCACAGCGCATAAGCCTGATATCCTCTGCATTTGGCCTTCCTGGTGAATCTGGGAACATAGTCCTGTGTTTCACTTTGTGGTTATGAAGGTTCAAGAGAAACCTTACTCTTTAAAGAAAAAAACTTAGCTGTTATAGGAATTTTCAAACATATACAAAAGTAGATAATAGTTTAATGAACTTCGCATGTATCTATCACCAAACTTCAAAAATTGTCAACTTCTGGGACTTCCCTGGCAGTCCAGTGGTTAAGACTTTGCCTTCCAATGCAGGGAGTACAAGTTTGTTCCCTGGTTGGGGAGCTAAGATCTCACATGCCTCAGGACCAAAAAACAAAAACATAAAGCAGAAGCAATGTTGTAACAAATTCAATAAAGACTTGAAAAAAATTAACAGCCCTTGTCTCTGTATTTCCCTACCTCCCCATCCTGTTGTTTTGAAGGAAATCCCAGGTATCATCAATTTATCTGTATTTCAGTGTGTATCCTTGAAAAGATGAGGACTCTTTAAACTATGTCCAAATATGATAATCTTATCTTTAAGTGATTAATTATTCAGTCAGTATTAAATTTCCCTAATTGTCTGCATTATTTTCCAGTTTGTTAAACTGCAACCCAAATGAGATTGATAGCTCTTTCTTAATTATCTTTTAAAGTATAAGGTCCCCTTTCATAACCCTCTCTTCCCCCATCTCCCATCTTTCTCCCTCTTTTTTTTTTTTTGAAGGAAACCAGATTTTTCCATACTCTGCTAAGTATGTGTTTTGCCCATTATGCATACCCTAACTTTCATTTTAATGTGTCCTGTCCTTTGTATTTTCTGTAAATTGGCAGAGGCTTTATCAGATGACATGTTTTTGTTTTCCAAGTTTACTTTATACTTGTCCTTCCATCAGGCATTAATGTCTGGTGATGATCACCATTAAGTTATCGTTATCTAGATCTAGCAATTTATTAGGAGTTGTAAAGTAGTGATATTGTAATTTTGTTCATTTTTTCATATTATGTCCAAATACTTATTGAAAAAAAAATTCCTTTATCAAGTATTTGGCTCCTATATGAAAGTCAGCCATTTTCCCAAGGAGGCCTGATTTCTTTGAGAAGTATAGAGCTTTGATTTTTTTTTTTTAATATAAATTTAGCCCTAAAACTACTTTTTAAGAAAGAGAGTCATCATCAGTAATCATTGCCTTTAGCACCTTTTTATACTTTGACAACATGTTAGAAAACGAGTTACAGATAGAGAAATGAAATTAAAACCTCATTTGTATTTCCTTTTAATTTATCAACTGAAAGGAGAGAATGAGAGGAAACTAAAGTTTGTTAGATTATTTAGCAGGCCCTGAGCTTTGATACCTTTTTAAAAAAACTTTTGCTTTGATCTTAAGAGGTTGGTCAATATTGTGCCTATTTTATAGATGAGGCCAAAACCTAGAATGCTAAAATGACTTATTCTGTGCCATACTGCCTATAAATACTGGACATTTGTAGGGTTTTCTTTGGATTTTATATGTAATAGGCTAACTTGGTTTTTCTAACACTGCATTAGGGACATCAGAAAGTCATTGGGTTAGAGCTATAAGACATTTTTTAAATGTCCAAAAGACATTTTAAGACATTTAAAAAAATAACCAGATTTTTTTACTGCTTCATTTTATGTATGCCAGAAAAGTCTGAGTTCAGCCTGGGACAAAAGTAAGGATCAGGGCTAGTGAATGAAAATAGAAAAGAATAATCTTGGAAACTGGCATCTTTTATTTTTTTCTTTCAATAAAGAGGTTTTTTATAAGTTTGAATGTTCAGATATTGATAGTTTTAAAACAATGTGTAAAACTCAAGCAGGATCTCTGTATCAATCTAGAAGGGTGGGATAGGGTGGGAGATAGAAGAGAGGTTCAAAAGGGAGGGGATATATGTATACCTATGGCTGATTCATGTTGAGGTTTGACAAAAAACAACAAAATTCTGCGAAGTGATTAAGCTTCATTTAAAAAATGAATTAAAAAAACCTAGCCAATGTATAACCATTTTTCTCTCCCACCCAGGTTTATTGAGGTATTTATGCAAATAATGCATAAACATTTTCAAATCATTTTTAAGCCTATGTGTAGAACTTCCACAGTTCCTCTAAACATCTGTGGGAAATGGACTTTGATGTCCAAGACTTTATTTCACATTCCAACTGTAGCTTACTAGGTATACGGATTTAAAGTTTTCCATTTTTCCTTTGTAGAACTTGTAAAAGTAAGCACTCACGTTTCAAGCACTGTTTGAGACTCTTTAACAGTCCTTGCACATGGTTTGGTCCTCACAATAGCAGTTTTAAGGGGTTTTTTTTTGTTTGTTTTTTTCCAGTTTACTGTAAACACATCACCTACTCTGGAAGACCTGATGTTAAGTCAGTATGTTTACCGACCCAAGATACAGATTTATAAAGAAGATTGTGAAGCTCTTCGCCGGAAGATTGAAGAGTATGAAAGTTTCCATTTTTGTGTGTGTGTGTTGTTGGATGGGTGAATAATCTGTGTGACAAGATTTTGATTAGAATAACACTGGCATAGGAAAAGCTGACAGCATTAATTGGCAGTGTAATATAGTATATGGGAAAGAATTTCAGGTTTGTAGTCAGATGGAAGTTCAATTCTTGGCTACTTATGTAAGTTATTTAACCTTCATTTTCATGTTCATCAATTGAGGATAATAATACCTACTTAGTAGTGTAGAAGTGGTGTATATAATGAGCAGTAGAAGTAGTATATATAAGAAGTTTGCATGCCATTCTTAGCAAAGAGTGTGTCCTTAATAGGGATTCCCAGGTGACTTAGTGGTAAGGAATCCACCTGCCAAGCAGGAGATTCACGTTTATTCCCTGGGTGGGGAAGATCCCCTGGAGAAGGAAATGGCAACCCTCTCCAGTATTCTTTCCTGGAAAATTCCATGGACAAAGGAGCCTGGCAGGCTGTAGTCCTTGGGGTCACAAAAGAGTTGAACATGACTTGGTGACTAAACAACAACAACAAAGGTCCTTATAAGCAGTAATTATTAGATTATGATATCATAAATTCCGAAAGAACATGTTTAAAAGAAGATAGTACCCTTTAGAGATTTATATAGTGCCTACAGGTAAGATTGCCTTTGGGTTTATAGTTTTATCACATTTACTCTTAATTTGCATTTATAAAAGAACATGGTTTTAATCAAGACTGTTGCTCAGTGGTTTGGTGTAAGTAGATGCAGCAGACTAATTTAAAAATTAGGTATATCTAGATTTTCACAGGTAAACCAAAACTTGCAACTCAAGGCAGTGTTTATATCATACTTATCTAGAACTGTCAAACTGAATGTGAACCAGTTTAACAAACAGAAAAGAAATGAAGTAATCTTTTAAGAATCATGTAGTTTTAAAACTTTTGGTGGTAAACACACTGTAGTGTACATAGATGTCAAAATATAATGTACACATGAAACATATAACCAGTGTTTTAAACCAGTGTCTTAAACCAATGTTACCTCAATAAATAAAAATAAATTAAAGGGAATTATAGTTTTAAAGGGCTTCCCTTGTGGTTCAGCTGGTAAAGAATCCACCTGAAATGCAGGAGACCTGGGTTCGATCCCTGAGTTGGGAAGATCCCCTGGAGAAGGGAAAGTCTACCCACTCCAGTATTGTGGCCTGGAGAATTCCATGGACTGTATACTCCATGGAGTTGCTAAGAGTCAGACACAACTGAGTGACTTTTACTTTCACTTTTCATAGTTTTAAAACTAGAAAGTTAGGATGCTATTAAATTATAGTACTGCAGATTTGGCTGTTTCCAGCTTGTTCATTGAACGAACGAATTGAGCCCCTACTGAGTGCCAGGCGCAGTACTAAATCCTGGGGTTCATCCCTGCACAAGACAGGTTTCTTACCTTCATGTTATTTAAAAGAGTTGGGTGTCTCAGGGTTTGTCTAAGAATGTTTTATTTTGAATAAAATAGATTCGTTGCATACAATGAAAAGTTTGTTTAGATGTGCTCTACTGTTTGATTTTGTACCTATGTGCCTGTTTATAATATCTTCTAACTCTGATAAAATTTTATTCCCTATACTTATTAACAAGGTAACTTTGCTACTTTTATTAATGCTAATCTATAAAGGTGAGATAAGACTGAACTGAAAAAAAAAAACTGAAAAAAAAAAAGACTGAACTGAATTGGAAACTTTAACTTAATAGTTAACAACTTTCCAACAATTATGCATTCACAAGCCCTTAAAGGATTCTTTATAAGCAACGTACTGAGTTGACCAAAATGTTTGTTTGGTTTTAAGTAAAAATAAAAGACATATTTTTCATTTTACCAAGAACTTTATTGAACAGTGTATTCATTAACCAAGTAAGCTTCTTGACCAAAACAGTATTTTCATTTTGGAACAAGTTGATGCATTGAGATCAGAGTTCTATTTGGGAGGGAAATTTTTTTGAATCATAACATTCTTGAACTGTTCTACAAGTGTTGAAATAGACTGGCCACTATTCCTGAGTGAATTTCCCTCTTTATGTAGAAAAGAACTAGGAAGAATTAAGTATGCCTGTAGATCTAAATTGAATCATTCGGGTTGACTTCTGAACTCTGTGCTAATTAACTTTTCTCTATTTAGATTAAAGCTTTCTGCACTGAACCAAGATAAACTGTTGACTGATATAAATAGAAACCTGTGGGAAAAAATGAAACACTGCTCTGATGAGGAGGTACTTTTGTCTCATTTTCTGAATGGGAATCAGTATAGACATTACAATGTTTATTGTGAAATTAGTATCTGTTACTTGATAATTCGACTTCGCTGGTAGCTCAGCTGGTAAAGAATCCATTTGCAATGCAGGAGACCTCACTTCAGTTCCTGGGTCGGGAAGATTCCCTGGAGGAGGGCACGGCAACCCATTCTAGTATTCTTGCCTGGAGAATCTCCATGGGCAGAGGAGCCTGGAGGGCTACAGTCCATGGGGTCACAAAGAATAGGACACAACTGAGTAACTAAGCACTCATACACACACACACATACACACACACACACTTGATAATTAGTAGTGAGTTCTTTACTTCTCAGGTATAATATGTCAGTAAGGTTTTATTACACATGAATGATTGTTAGTATAGAATCTTACATTTCTTACATGATCAATTTAATATATGAAATACATTTGAAATTTAAAGTTCCCTTCTTGTTTGCTTTTCACTTAGATTTAGATAGGGAAGAAATAGACTTTAAATGATTAAACGAGCAACTCATTTTATATTTGCCCTGATTGAAGTTTTATTAACTAAGAACGTGTCTATTTTCTAATTTGTAGTATAAATGAATTTTGTACTGGAATTACTCAACTGGAATCAAAGTTGAAATCTTTGGTTCTGGACTTAAGCTATTAAGTGAAATTAAATTTGCAAATAAGAAGCCTTAGGAATCCTAGTCTAGGATGGGCAAATCTTAGCACATAGCAGCCTTCCCAGACCATTTGCTTTTCTAACTCATTTGTTTTAATGCAGTGTAATCTTTGACTTTACAGCTGAAGGCCTTTGGAATTTACTTGAACAAAATAAAATCACGTTTTACCAAGATGACTAAAGTCTTCACTCACCAAGGAAAAGTGGCTCTATACAGCAAGCTGGTGCAGTCAGCTCAGGTAATCTGAGACCATTAAGAGCTTAGAAAGATCTATTAAAGTTACTTTATAGTGATTGTGGAATATGAAGAATGTTCCTTAGGAGACATGTGAATGCGAGTTGGGCAAAAACTTAAAATTGTTCATAAGAAGTGAGGTTCAGTTTAACAAAAGTTGTAAATCCTGGCATCTTGAGTAGTTCTAGAATATATTTACTAATATGGGTATATGTCTAATCTCAAGTTATACATATTGAAATAAAACAATATAGAATTATGATCTTCCTTTGCTAAGGACTGTGCTCTGGTGTTATCTTCCTCATAGTCCATACTCAGCTATGTATGTATATGCATGTATTTTTAAAAAATGGTATTTTCCAAAATGATCATCCTTGAAGAAAGGTCCTACATAAAAAAACTTTTCATTGGCAAATAAGTCTGGGAAGTGTTACATACAGTGTCCCCCTTTTGGAGAAATACAATAGCTAACGTATTAAAGTCTAAGATCAGAAATCTTTTTTTTTTTTGTCTAAAAAGAAAAAATGCTATATTTATATTTGATCTGTTTCCCAAATTTATTTAACCATAGATCATTTTTATAAACTCTAAGTTATATATATTAACATCTTATATTAATAGAAATATAAAATAAAGTATAAAATATGAATTGATATTAATCTGTTATGTATGCTTAAAAAACTTTTTTTAAGACAAGACTTGAAGCTTCGATCTTTTAGATTTGCCTGTTCATGGGACTTCCCTGGTGGTCCAGTGGTTAAGACTCTGCACTTCCACTGCACAGGGCATGGTTCAATCCATGGTCGGAAACCAAGATCCTGCATGCTGCACTGCATACCCAAAACAAAAATAACAACAAACAAACAAAAAGATTTGCTTGATCATAAATTAGACGTAGCAGTTATGTTAGCAGTTTGAACCGTTTATAATGTTATAATGTTTGTTTTGAGGTTTTACTTGACAGTCTTGTGATATTGTGTGTTTAGAGTGAGAGAGAGAAACTTCATAAAAGGATAAATGAGATGGACAACATACTTAAGAAGATTGATAACTCTCTCACCGAGGTGGAAATAGGTAAAATATCTTGAATACTTTTTCAAAAGAAAATTCAATTGTATCTAAATCCTTCCCTACTTTGCTAGTAGCACTATGCTGAAGCCTGGTATTTAGCAGCTTGAGACATTAAATTATAGAAACTCCTTTACTGTGGTCATTCATAACATAATCAAGAAATACCAACAATAATAAGTCTCTTTGGAAAACTCTTCATAACCTAGACCATAATCTTGTGTTGTTTTTTAATAAACGAACTTATTTATCCTTTCAGTTTGGTCTCTCATTATCCTGACTTGTTAGTTTTGTCTTGAAACTGCTTTTTCTTTTTTTTTTTTGAAACTGCTTTTTCAGAGATCACAAAATTTCACATAATCATCAAATTTGGTTGCTCTCAGTCCTTAGCCATCTAGATCTCTTTCAGTATTTGACACCGCTGATGATTATTTTCTTCCGAAACGTTCTTCTCCCTGAACTCTATGATATTGCTCTATCTTGATACTATTCTTTTCTCCTAACTGTTCCTTTTAGCTCCTCTGTTGTCCCTTATCTAACTAACCCCTTGTGTAGCATTCATCTATTCATTTCTATATTTTCTCCCCTAATACTTTCATCTGCCTTAACAATTATTTTTATCTGAATGATTCCCAAATTCAGTTAAATTCATCCAGCATTTGTTCAGCACCTACTACCTGCCAGATACTGTGCTTAGTGTCAGAAAAAATATATACACAGACTTTTGCCCATTTTAAAATATTTATTTATTTAGGCTGCTATGGGTCTTCACTGCAGTGTGCAGGCTTCTTTAGTTGTGGCATGTGACATCTTAGTTCCCTAACCAGGGATGGAATCCGAGCCCCGTGCATTGGAAGCTTGGAGTCTTACCCACTCGACCACCCGGGATGTCCCAGATTTTTGCATTTAAGTGACTTGTAATCATTTTGCATGAGGGCATCTCTTTCTTTCTTTTGAGTTCCAGACTTAACATTTCCAGCTTCTTGCTGAACCTTTCAACAAAAGTGTCCTTTAAGCACCTTAAACATTATGTGAAAAAATGGAAGCTATTGTCTTCCATTTTCAAAATAATATCTGAAAATTTGTTGTCTATGATACTTCTCATTTGTATTAACAGTGTCATCATTCTTATAAATTGTAAAACGCTCATGACTTTTATTGTCTTTGAGTTTCTCTTATCAAATCCTGTTATATCCGCTTCAGTATCTTCTGTATTCTTCCCCATTCCCATTAACACTATCATTAATTCTGACATGTGCTATTTCAGATCTTCTAACTAATCTCTCTACACTCTTAATTTCATCCTATCTCTTTCCAGTCCAACCTGTACATTGCTGCAGGTTTAATAATTATAAAGGACAGTATTCATTATGTTCAGTTCAGTTCAGTCACTGTCCTGTCCCTATTTGCGACCCAGGGACTGTAGCACACCAAGCTTCCCTGTCCATCCCCAGCTCCTGGAGCCTGCTCAAATTCATGTCCATTGAGTTAGTGATGTCATCTTAACATCTCTGTCGTCCCCTTTTCCTCCTGCCTTCAATCTTTCCCAGCATCAGGGTCTTTTCCAATGTGTCAGTTCTTCTAATCAGGTGGCCAAAGTATTGGGAGTTTCAGCATCAGTCCTTCCAATGAATATTCAGGACTGATTTCCTTTAGAATTGACTGGTTGGATCTCCTTGCAGTCCAAGGGACTCTCAAGAGTCTTCTCCAACACCACGGTTCAAAAGCATCAATTCTTTGTAGGCAGGTAAGGTGGTCAGGTATTTCCATCTCTTTAAGGATTTTCCACAGTTTGTTGTGATCCACACAGTCAAAGGCTTTGGTGTAGTCAGTAAAGCAGAAGCAGATGTTTTCCTGGAACTCTCTTTTTCTATTATCCAACGGAAGTTGGCAGTTTGGTCTCTGGTTCCTCTGCCTTTTCTAAATCCAGGTTGAACTTCTGGAAGTTCTTGTTCACATACTGTTGAAGCCTCACTTGGAGAATTTTGAGCGTTACTTTGCTAACATGTGAGATGAGTGCAATTGTGCAGTAGTTTGAACATTCTGTGGCATTGCCTTTCTTTGGGATTGGAATGAAAACAGACCTTTTCCAGTCCTGTGGCCACTGCTGAGTTTTCCAAATTTGCTGGCATGTTGAGTGCAGCACTTTAACAGTATCATCATCTAGGACTTGAAATAGCTCACCTGGAATTCCATCACCTCCACTAGCTTTGTTCGTAGTGATGCTTCCTTAGGCCCACTTGACTTCAGACTCAGAGTGTCTGACTCTAGGTGAGTGATCACACCATTGTGGTTATCTGGGTCATGAAGATCTGTTCTGTATAGTTCTTCCATGAATTCTTGCTACCTTTTCTTTCATGTTACTACCCTGAAAAACTTCTGCCTTTCCATTTATTACAAAATAAAAGTCCAAACTCCTGAGCTTGACATTTAGTGTTCTCAACCATCATTTTCAGATATTCCCTTCTTACATGATTTTTACTATTATTCCCTTACACATCCTAAATTCCAACCAAATCTTGTCATTTCTATGCAGTTCTGCCACTTTGTGTTTGCCTAATACATTCTCCTTATATTTTTTACCAAGGGATAGTGTTCTATCTCTTGAGCTGCTTTGGCTATTTTATTGTACCTATCATGTCTAATTGTAATTATAGTTAATTCTATATAGTTTACTTTCCTAATTAATTTGTAAGCTCCATGGGGACAAAGATCAGCTTTTATTTTTCTCCATATCCTTCAAAGTTCTTAGCACTATGCTTTGCACAGAAAAAGTGCCTGGTGCATATTTTCTGCACTGAACTGGTAATAAATATGTGAAGTCCATAGTCTTAGACTATCACACCCCTTTGTTCATTACCTTGCTTTTTCACTTCATGGAAAAAAAAATAGAAACCATTAAGGCCAGAATTTCTAAACTTTCTGCTACAAAACAAATGAAACTTTTATATATCTGTATCCATTCTTTCATCCTTCCTTTCTTTTCCCTAAGATCAATCTCTCCACCTAAACTTTGAATTGCAGCCTCTCTTCTCAGGAATCTTATTGCACTGACTTCCCCTTATCTCTTGTATTTACAACCTCTCTGCCTCCTCCACTGAATATATTCACTTCTCACCTTTAAAAGTACTCCTCCACTGAATATATTCACTTCTCACCTTTAAAAGTACCAACAATCACACTCTTTCTCTAGCTGCCACTGAATGGCTCTCTTTTTCTGTCTTTCTTCATTATTCCTTGAGCAAATTACTATCATGTGCCTTGTATAGTGCTTGGTGTGAAGACTACTGTAGTGATTAAAAACAGAACTTTATGCCCTTGTGGAGTATTTATTTTTATTTGTCAACTCTCCCATTACTATCTTTTAATTCAAACATTCATACATTAAGAAAGGCTTCCATACTTTAATTTTTTACAGTACTATACAGAGCTCCAATACTATTTCAGTTTCAAATTATAGGAGATCACATTCAAATATGTTTGGATTTGACAATTTGCTTTTACAATATTGAGGAAAGATTATAAGCATTAAATAGTTTTATGGTAACTGCTATGGAAGAGTAGTTCCGTGGTGCTGTAAGTTCCTGAAGTAGAAATCTTAACTGTCGGGTCAGGAGAGGCTTCCCTTTGAGGAAGTGGCATTTAAGCCAAGATCTGAAGAATAAGTCGGGGCTAAAGTGAGAAGGGAGGGAAAAGCATACTGTTCAATATGAATAACACAGACAGAAGCCTTTCTTTGGAAAAGAATATACCAAGTAAGAGGATCTAAAATAAGGCAAATGTGGCTAGAATAGAAAGAACAAAAGGGAACATAGTCTGAGATAAAGCTGGAGATGCCAGCTTTAGGGACCAGGTTAAGGAGGGCCTCTTAAGGAGTTTTGACTTTTTCTGAAACCAGTGAATAGCCATTTGAAGGGTGTTAAGCATTGGCTGTAAATTAAGAAGTTAAGCAGTTATTAGATGGTATGGTTAATAAAGGACAATAACTTATATAAATGGAACTTGGTAGTGGTGAAGGAAAAAAGTAGATTCAGAAAATATTTCTGAGGTAAAAGTCTAAACTTGGTTTGGATGTGGAGAGAGAGAAGGCTTTTAAGGATGATTCCAAGGTATCATAAATAAATACTTAAGTATGTGTGTGTGCATTTATATATGTGTATGTGTTCCTGCTTAGTCCATGGGGTTGCCTAACAATAATTTTGATGTATGCAAATTACGTATAAACAATTTCCATCTGCCACTAGAAGCAAGTCTTCTTATGAAATTATTATTGTATCTCAATGCTTTTTTGTCAAGGAAAAGTGGGTTAAGATAAATGCTTGTGAAATATTCTTAACACGACATTTTGGGACCATCTCTTCTTTTCATCTCTGGTTGTTTAATTATTTTTGACTGAGTTATTTTACTCCATGGTCTACTTTAGAAACTAAGAATTTGGAGGATGAACAGAAAGACAGTCCTGTGGAAGAACTGAATTCTGAAGTGAGAGCTGCAGAGAAAGGTAACTGATTTAATTAGGGAGATAAATGGGGAAAAAGTCTTCTATTCTGAAGTTTTTATTTAAATGAGATTAATGAGATAGATTTTTCAATAAAACATGATTTTTATACCAGTATTTTAATGTATACATTCTGATAAATTTGTTTTTGTTTTTCTTTTCAAAGAATTGGAACAGCTGAAAACTGAGGAAGAAAAACTTCAAAGGTTAGCCTTCAGTTTGAGTGTTAGAAAATATGCTAACCTCCACATGGTTAAGTGATTTCCAACCTCCAGAAACTGACAAGGTTGAGAACATGAATATTGACTAAGGTTGAGCCAGGGCGTCTACTCCACTTTGAACTTGACCTTGGAGGCCATCTTAGCAGTATACTCTAAGCATTTATTGCTTACAAAGCATTAATCCAAGGTAGTAGTTCTCAAGCTTGTGTAATATCAGGATCCTGTTAAAGAAGATCTAGCATTAAACTGCTTTTATATGACAGTTAGGTGTAAATAAATATAAAGTAAGGTATGTGTTTCTTATACTCTGGATCTTATTTAACTGTAAGACTCAAAGAAATCAAATACAAATAATGACAAAGCCAGTAAAATTCCAACTGGAAACATTAACTTGATAGGTGATAATAATTTAGCTAAAATTAAATTGATGCTAGCAAAATGACTAACAAAATATAAATTCTGTTTAGCTCTAATAAGCTAAACAAAACCAAATGCATGCACCAAAATTATGGCATGTTTCATTTTTTTTTTTTTTTAATTTTTATTAGTTGGAGGCTAATTACTTTACATCATTACAGTAGTTTTTGTTATACATTGAAATGAATTAGCCATGGATTTACATGTATTCCCCATCCCAATCCCCCCTCCCACCTCCCTCTCCACCCGATCCCTCTGGGTCTTCCCAGTGCACCAGGCCCGAGCACTTGTCTCATGTACCCAACCTGGGCTGGTTATCTGTTTCACCCTAGATAATATACATGTTTCAATGCTGTTCTCTTGAAACATCCCACCCTCGCCTTCTCCCAGAGTCCACAAGTCTGTTCTATACATCTGAGTCTTTTTCTGTTCTGCATATAGGGCCATCGTTACGATCTTTCTAAAGTCCATATATATGTGTTAGTATACTGTAATGGTCTTTACCTTTCTGGCTTACTTCGCTCTGTATAATGGGCTCCAGTTTCATCCATCTCATTAGAACTGATTCAAATGAATTCTTTTTAATGGCTGAGTAATATTCCATGGTGTATATGTACCACAGCTTCCTCATCCATTCGTCTGCTGCATGTTTCATTTTTAAGGTGGGCATTCTTATGGTCTACATTATGCTTACATTTTTAACATCAAAATGAAAAGTAAATTTTTTTGAGGTTAGTTTTTGTTAATTTATTTTTAATTGGAGGATAATTGCTTTACAATATTGTGTTAGCTTCTGCCATACAACAATGTGAATCAGCCATAAGGATATATGTTCTAGTGAGGTGGACGAACCTAGAGCTTGTTAGAAAGAGTGAATTAAGTCAGAAAAAGAAAAGCAAATACCATATATTAATGCATGTATATGGGATCTAGAGAAATGGTACTGACGAACCTATTTGTAGTGTGGGAATAGAGACATAGAGAACGGACTTCAGACACAGCAGACGAAGGAGAGGATAGGATGAATTGTGAGACTAGCATTGAAACATGTACATTACCATATGTAAAATAGATCGATAATGGAAGTGCTGTATAACACAGGGAGCTCAGTGTTTTGTAACAACGTAGAGGGGTGGGATGGGGTGGGGGGAAAATGTAAATTTTAATAATAATAGACCCACACTTCTAGTTTAATGTTTATTTAAAAAAAACTAAAAATGCAGAAATATACGTCATTCACCTCACTGGGGAGCCATTTAGCACATGGCTTGTTGTCATAAACTTTTATTTTAACAATGTCTGAATTCTCTAGCAGTGACCTTATCTTTCTGTGAATACCTGGTTTGATTTGCAGAGATTTTTTAGAGCTGGAGATACAGAAAGGGCAGATCCTTGCTCAATTAGAGTTTGTGCAAAAGCAAACAAAGAGAACTGAAGAGCTGCTGGATCAGTTGAGGTAAGGGAAAACATTAATTAAGGTAGCATTAATTTGTGTTTTATCCTGTACCTTTGTGGTTGTCTCAATCCACAAGTGCAGTTGACATGTGTTTGTAATGTCTATCACTGTTTTTAACCTATAATGCAATGTATTCTCAGAAAGAAGAATTAATATACTCAACAGTAAGCTGAAAGTATACAAGGTGGGAGAGCTATGAAATTTGTAATGTTAAAATATTTAATATTTTATATTGCCTAGACTTGGCTTTTCTCTGATATATAACTCAAAATTGAGTCAGTTCTTATTTCTTTCAAAAGCAGAAGTTTGTACATTCACAGTATTGAAATTAAAATAATGACTGTCTCCCAAGCCAGTAGAAAACTCCAGTAGTTACTGATGGTACTATTCAGATGGTAGAAGAAGTTAACTCTCTTCTTTTATCTTAAAAAATGGTTTTTTGTCTTCTCTTTCTTTAGCTTGTCTGAATGGGATGTCATTGAATGGAGTGATGATCAAGCTGTATTCACCTTTCTTTATGACACAATAGAACTCATCATTACCTTTGGAGAGCCAGTAGGTAAGTAGCAAGAATAAGATAATTCCTCTGTAGATAAATGTATGGATAAACTTACTAAAGATTCATATCTTTGTTTTAATACAATATTAACATGTATTGACATGATGAAAGTACTGCTGAAAATCTTAAAAGAGGCAATCACTTTAATTAGTGATAATAGAATTTTATTTTATTAAATAAAAAGTTAAAAAATTCAGCTAGTGAAAGTTGCCCTTTGTTGAATTACATTAGATAATAGAAATTTTGCCTATTCAGAAAAATGGATCAACATGCTCTTCACATCTATTTACTCTGATTTCTTTTTTTCCATCTGTCTGTCTGTTGTGATAGAGGATTTGCTCTAATGCTGATGATTCTTGACTGGGTTTTTGATGTACATAAGTTAACCCAAAAAAGTAATTGGAAATTCTCTGTGTATTGATTGGTAGGTTTATCAAAATAGGTAAACATCACTAGATGGTAACTTGATAGCCTCCTAGCTATTTTGTTATAATCTCCTGTCAGTATCTTTAGGTCTCTTCTCTTGAAACAGCTTCAGCATGACCAGCCCTGGGTGAACATGGCCAAATTGAAACTTTGATTCTTTATAATTTCTCAGCCTCCAAGCCCAATTCTCCTTAAAAGTTCCTGGGAATTCCTTGTCTGTCCAGTGATTAGGACTTGCACTTTTACTACCATGGCCCCAGGTTCAGTCCCTGGTTGAGAAACTAAAATCCTGTAAATCGTGTGGAACAACCCCCCCAAAAAAGTTCCTTTTCTAAATGAATACTATCAACTTCTGTTCAGGTCCTAAATTAAAAGTTAAGAATCACTCTATACCTCTTTCTTTTTTACCTGGCATATCTAAATTATGAGTAAGACTTACTGATTCAGATTTAACATTCATCTACTTTTTTGTGTCTCTTCTGCCAAGAGACACCTCCAGTCTATACAATAACACTATAGGTAGTCTTTCTGGAACTTTTTCTTTTCCCCTCTATTTCTTTCTCCTTCCTGTAGCTGTAGTAATTGTTGAAAATTTTATCATGTACCTCCTACTCTTAGACTGATGATCAAAATGCTTATAACCTGGAAAGCCCTGAATGAAATGAATTTTTCCTTCTTTTCCTGCCTCATCTTACACTGTTCTCTGCCCATCAACCACAGTGAATTTCTTTCGTTTCTTTAAAAGATCATGGTCTTTCATGCTCAGTCATATTCCATCCTACCTGAGGACATTCATCCCGATGTTTCTTTTTTTTTTTTCCATTTATTTGTATTAGTTGGAGGCTAATTACTTTACATCATTGCAGTGGTTTTTGTCATACATTGAAATGAATTAGCCATGGATTTACATGTATTCCCCATCCCGGTCCCCCCTCCCATCCCGATGTTTCTTATGCCTGGAAACTTTTGCCCTGTCTTAGTCCTTCTGGGTTGCCATTTTAAAAATACCATAAACTGGGACTTTCCCTGGTGGTCCAGTGGTAAAGAATCTGCCTTCCAGTGCAAGGGACGTGGGTTCAATCCCTGGCTGGGGAACTAAGATCCCACACGCCTTGGGACAGCTAAGTCCATGCACCAAAACTACTGAGCCACCGGCGCATTCTAGAAGCCACGTACCACAACGTACCACGTACGTAGTTGCAGGCCTGTGTGCTGCAACTAGAGAAAACTTTTACATACCATACACTGAGTAGCTTATAAACAACAGAAATTTATTTCTCACAGTTCTGGAGGCTGGAACCTCAAGATATGGGTGCCAGTATGGTCAGGCAAGGGCCCTCTTTCAGGCTTCAGACTCTTCATTGTATCCTCACGTAACTAGCTAGCTCTTCAAGGTCTCTGTTTTAAGAGCACTAATCACATTCATAAGGGCTCCATCCTTAGGATCTAAGCACCTCCCAAAGGTCCCACCTCCTACAACTATCACAGTGGGCATTAGGTTTTCAGCCTATGAATTTTCAGACCATAGCACCTCCTCTTCACTAAGTAAATGTCTACTAATAGTCCTTAAGAGCTCAACTAAGTTATCACTTTCTCAGGAAAGTTTTCCTTGACTCTTCTTTTACTCACTCCCTCTGCTATTTGCCCTCCTGGTATATGTTCTCATTGCTTCATGCAGTTTTCTTTATTGTGCTTATTACAGTTTGTAGTTCTTGGTGTGTTTATTAGTGCAATTATCTGTGTGTCCCCCTGAGCTGTAATTCTTTAGAGCATAGGTTGATCATGTTTGTTTGTCTCACTAGCATATCCTCAGTGCCTAACACATAGAAAATATTCAGTAGAGTGCAAAGAATCAGAATCTTAGAGACAAGAGATAACTCTTGTGTATGGAAGAGCAGTCAGCTCTCCTAGCTACCTAAAATTCATTGCTGTTATTTAGTCGCTAAGTCACATCCAACACTTAATGTGACCCTATTCACTATAGCCCGCCAGACTCCTCTGTCTATGGGATTTCCCAGGCAAGAATACTGGAGTGGCTAAAATTACTGTGGCGCTAAAAGCATAAATTGTTTTCACTGTATTTGTGCAAAGATAATAGGTATGGGGAGGTTGTAGTCATCTTCTTTATATGATTCCTAAAAAGAATATTATTTTTGCACAGAAGTTAGGGTTCAAAGGAGGAGGCCCTGATAAATTTACAAAAATGTCCCACACCTTAAATTTCCTTAAAGACCTGACAGTTAATATAGTTCAGTGTTCTCAGGGGAAACTTTACATACACAGAGAATAGTATGACTCAGGGATAAAGCTTCAACTGTTTATGAAAAAACCCTGCTACCCAGAAAGAATAGGATTCTAAAGTACTGAGTTGTATGTGGCTTTAAATCAGATGTTAAAAAGAAATACTGTTCTTATGCTGGTTTTTCCTAGTTGGTCTCCCTTTCCTGGACAAGGCTTATAGGAAGGTTGTTGATCTGAATTTTCAATCTCTATTAGATGGTAAGTTCAGAACATTTAATCTAACAAAACTTTGTTGGAAATTTATTTAATATTAATTAAATTATTTAATAAGTGTAAATTGTTCCTTGAGAACTCTTTTACATACTAACTTAAATATAAACAAGAATAATAATTAGAAATGTGTATTTGACCAAAACCTGCTTGAGAATTGTTCTAAATATTGTGTGGGCTTTAAAAGAAATTTTAAAAAATTATTACTAAATCTGGAGTAATAGCTATTTCCATAATTTAAAAATTACCATTATGGGTACTTACTCTGTATCAGACATTTTTTTTACTTACATCAACACTATTCTCCATTTTGCAGTTAGAGAACTATAGCTCAAAAGCAGTTAAGTATTGTGCTTAGGATCACTCAGGTAGTAAGGAGAGCCAGAATTTAAACTCAGGGTTATATTACATTTAAACCTACACATTTATGTCAATTCAATGTCTTATGTTCACTGTATATGATGACTTATGTGTTTGAGAATAAAATGGAGATGATAGTTGGATACCTAGTTGTTTGAAGGTATTTCTACTTAATATTTCTAGTGTGTGTGTACATATATAAAATACATGAATAATAAGTAATACTCTGCTTTTAATTTTCTTTTTTTTTTTTGCTTCCTCAGAGGATAAAGCTCCTCCTTCCTCCCTTTTAGTTCATAACCTTATTTTCCAGTACATTGAGCAACAGGAATCCTGGAAGAAGACATGCACAACACAGCATCAGGTACCCAAGGTAAATTCCCACTGAAATATTTAAAGGAAAATTATGTCAACTGTCCCAAAAAGCAGAACTGAAATTTTATGTATGTAATAGTGAATCCTGAAATGATATATATATATAATAAGATATACTAAACTGTTTAACTTTGGGGGATTCTTTATAAAAGAGTCACTAAACCCTGAAATGTTTTTATACTTCCATCTTTTCTTTCTCTGTTTTTCCCAGATGCTTCAAGAAATCTCACTGGTAGTGAGCCATTGCAAACTCCTTGGAGAGGAGATTGAGTTTTTAAAGCGATGGGGACCAAATTATAACCTAATAAGCATAAATGTGAAAAATACTGAGTAAGTGTATTAGTTTCTGTAGAGCTGCCATGACAGAGTACTACAAACTAGATGGTTTACACAACAGAAATTCATAGTCTCACAGTTCTGGAGGCTGGAAGTCTGAGGTCAGAGTGTCAGCAGGACCAGTTCCTTCTGATGGCTGTGAAAGAGAATCTATTCCATGCCTCTCCTAATTTCTGGTGATTTGCTGGCAGTCTTTTGGCATCCCTTGTTAGTAAATATGTAATCCCAGTAGCTTCTTTTATCTTCACATGACATTCTTCCTGTGTGTATGTCTGTGTCCAAGTGTTCCCTCTTTGTTAGGACACCAGTCATTTTGGATTAAGGGCCCACCCTACTCTGGGGCGATCTCATCTTAACTAATTAATTCTGCAATGATCCTCTTTACAAATTAGGTCACATTCTGATGTACTAGGGGTTAGGGCTTTAATACATGAATTTTAGGGGACACAACCCATGACAGTAAGTAGTTAGTCAAAAACTTATTAAAATAATTTAATTAATAGTTTCATGACTAATGATGAAAATACAACCATAAGCTTGCTTTGTTCCAGATGTTTTACCCTCTGTTCATTTGATAAGCAATGATGTATACCAAAGGTTCATTATAAAAAGAAAATGTATTTGTGTTTCATTCTATTTTTGTTTTGTATGTTTAATTGAGGATCTTGTCTTTTACAGATTGAAGCTTTTATTCTCCAGCTCAGCAGCATTTGCAAAGTTTGAGATAACTTTGTCTCTCTCAGCCCACTACCCATCAGTCCCATTACCTTTTTCTATTCAAAATCACCTTGGAAACATTGGGTGAGTAAACAGCAAGCAAGAAAGGGCTCCCAACTACTTTTTTACCTTTGTTCTTTCTTTTGAAAGATTTCTCAAAGTGGTCAGAAAATGGATAGACCATAGTGAAAGCCAGAAGTCACCTCTCTCTCTGATTTCATTTTGAAGAATTTGTTCTTTTAAAATCAGTGACCTTCATTGCTATCTCCAGTGAATACTGGAGATCATTGGTCTATTTTTTAATACTTGCTACATTTTATGGTCAATCCTTCCTAAAACAGGAATCGAGAAGAAAAAAAATCCTGCTTAAGTTTAGCCCAGATCATATCTGAACAACTTTTATGGCCTTAAAAACAGAGTAATCACTTTAAAAATTGTGTAGTCATAGTGCTTTTCTCAATTAGTTTGTGGAACAGACTTAAAAGTACTTCATTTCTACTCTATGTTTTGTGACTTTTTGTATACACTGTGGACAGATTGCAAGGTGATAGAGTTTAGAATATGTGCACCCCAAATCTGTCAGCAAACACCAGTAGTTTAGTTTTTATAGCCAGAGAAAGCAGCTAAGTCACGATACCTCACAATTACGTACATAATTGGTACTTAGACCTTATTTTTAGAATCTCAGTTCAAATTGGACAGTCTGATTATTTCCAGAAATGGCTGTTTGTGCTTCCTAGTAGATTCAGAAACCCTACTCAAAAATATGAATTTCACTGAAATGAAGACAAGTTTCCAGAAAAATTAATTAACCTTTTGTTCTTTCCAGCCAAGATGAAGTCACTGCCATTCTATCTAAAGTGCCACTGGAAGACAACTACCTAAAGAATGTAGTCAAACAAATTTACCAAGATCTGCTTCAGGACTGACTGCCATTTCTACCACTAGAATCATGGATTGCAGTTATAACAGTCAAGCACAGTAACACTTAATAATAATACTGTGTCAGCATTTCAGTTACTGTTTAATATTCATCTTTAGGTCATAGACGCCTAGTAAAGTTTCTTCTGATGGAAATTTCTCCCATTAAGAATTAACTTTTAAGTATAAGAGGAGGGGTCACCACAAACAAAAATATTAGCCATTTTCCCATATCTAGGGCTGTGATTTTTAGGTTTCTGGCTTCTGCCTACTAGATATTTCCAGGGTAGTCAAGTCTTATCTACAAACCACTCATCCTCCCTTTTTCTCCATTCCAGAGATGTTATTAAGAGAAAGCAATAGCACTCAGCTGTTGGAGTGGTTGCCATCTTCTCTTAAACACCTTGTGTTCTTTTATATAGTGTCTACTAGTATTTTCCTAATAAATATAATTTGTAGGGAAAAATTAATTTTTGGTCTGGTACATATCTGTAAATATATTAATACTGTTTTTGTGTTTGTGATATAGTAAAGAGATGTATATAGAAGTACATAGAGATGTATAGAGAGACATCCCTCTACCTGGGCAGTTTCAAAACATCTTCCTGAAGTATGCTTTACAATAAGATTCTCAGTCTCCTTCATTTAATAACAGCTTCAAACAATATCACACCCAAAACACAGGTTTATCAAGTTTTGGTAATGGTAATGAACTTTTAAGTATTGGTTTCTGAAGCCAAACACTTTCTTATACACAAAAATAGGCACATCCACTGATATTGAATAATCAGTATTATCTGTAAGATAGACAAATGTGAAAAAACTTCATCCAATCTTTAGTCAACTCCTAATCATGATAGTTTTTGTTTCCCTTATATATTTCTCAAGTATATTTACATTTTTAAACTAATTTGTCTTAATATTTTGCTTTATATTTTGGGATCAGGTTAAAGTTTTATGGGTCCCATGAATGTTATCTGCCCTCTTGATTGGCTTTTACTCCTGAACTACTAGTCAAAATAGTAAATGGTCTTTTAAGCTTCAAAAGTCAACATAAAACTCATTTGCCATAAAAATCAATATTTAAATGTTCCCTATTTCTGTAAACTCCTTGAAAAAATTTTAAGGTCATCAATATGGTGTTTCCCCGAAACTTCCCATGAAATTTGTTTTCTTACTGGAGTTGTTTTATTTCTTTCTGTAAACCTAAAAAGTAGAAGTTTTGTTTTATGCATTTTGGCAACCTGGAATGACCAGTTCCAAGGATGATTTGGCTTGTAATGATAATCTCTGCTTTCTTGGGTTTGGAGTACATAATTGTATTATTTATCTAGTTATTTGCTTTTCTATTTGTTCAAAGTATTGGCTATTTTTATAAAATTCTTTGGAAGTTTTTTCACTAGTGATTGGAAGCAGATTATTTTTTGCACGATTAAAGTAAGTTCATTATGTAAGTATTTTTAAAGCAGTATCTCTTTATGAAGTTGTTTTTTTTTTTACCCTGTATCTGATATATCCTTGAAGATATGCCTAAGCAAGCTCCCTTGAGGAATACTCACCTATTTGAAAACTCAGATAAGATTAAAGTATGTCAGGACCTTAATAAAAGAACCAGGTACAAACCGTAGTTATCCCTGTGTCTCTAAGGCACAGTAAAAGAAAACTATTTTGAAGTCCCTTAGGAAACTATCATTTCTTAAGAATTAATGTAGTGGTTCTCAAAGTATAGTCCCTAGACCAGCAGTCCCCAACCTTTTTGGCACCAGGGACCGGTTTCATGGAAGAAAATTTTTCGACAGATCAGGGGCCAGGGGAGGGGTATGGTTTAGGCAGTAATGTGAGCTATGGGGAGCAGCAGATGAAGCTTGCCCACCACTCACCTCCTGCTGTGCAACCTAGTTCCTAACATGCTGCTGACTGATAACCAGTCTGTGCCTGGGGGTTTGGGACCCCCGTTCTAGACAACCTCCCTTAGCTCTTCACAAGTATCCATTGTTGTTGACCTAAAGTCTAGACTGCCAGATATTTCTCCAACAAAAATGGATTCAGGATCAGAAGAAAACTGCAATTCATGGTCTGCAACCATGGTGGGCCACATGCAATTTCCCACTCTACAAGGAAAGAAAAACACTTATAGAAAGGAAAGGAAAGCCAGGAGTAAACAAAGGCTTTTCATTCGCTGAACCCGTCCCAGAAAAGGAGTCTTTCTTCTTTTTGTTGGACTCTGCCAACAGTACAGGCCATGAGAATTCCCCTTTCTGCTCTTCTTCCTCTACTTAATTGAGGTTTTTGATTATTAATTTTTTTAAATATGAAATCAAAACAAAACAGAAAGGCAGGGAAATGCTGCTAGATTGCAGGAGACTAAAGAAATTTTGAAAAGTAATGCTTGATCCTTGATTGAACCTTGTATTAAATTCATAAAGGATATTTTGGGGACATGGAAATTTGAATATTAAACTATATATTAGATGATAGTTTTGTATCTGTTAAATTTCTTGTGTGATAATGGTATTATGTAGGAGAATGCTCTTATTAGGAAACACATGTCTGCAATTTACTTTCAAATGATTTTTTAATATATATAATTTTATTTATTTATTTTTGGCTGTGCTGGGTCTTTGTTGCTGAACAGGCTTTTCTCTGGTTGCAGCAAGCAGAGGCTACTCTAGTTGCAGTGCATTGGCTTCACTGTGGTGGCTTCTCTTGTTGGGCAGCACAGCTCTGGGGCGTTTGGGCTGCAGTAGTTGCAGTGTATAGGTGCGATAGTTGTGGCTCAGTGTTCTAGAACACAGGCTTAGTAGCTGTGGTGCAGGGGCTTAGTTGTTCCATGGCACATGGGATCTCCCCAGTTCACGGACTGATCGAACGCGTGTGTCCTCTATTGGCAAGAGGATTCTTTACCACTGAACCACCAGGGAAACCCTCAAATGTTTTTTAAAAGTATGTGTGCATGTATGCATGTGTGTTAGAGATGCAGGAAAAATGAGAGAAAACATACAACAACATGTACATAGGTGTTTAAATGCACTGTTCTTTCAACATTTCTTTAGGCTTCAATTTTTTCAAAATGAAAAATTGGAGATGAAGAGAGGTTTGCTTGGGGACTTCCCTGGCGGTCCGATGGTTAAGGCTCTGCATTCCCAATGCAGGGGGCACAGGTTCTATCCCTAGTCAGGAAACTAAGATCCCACATGCTACACAATGTGGCCAAAAAAAAAAGGTTTTCTTGGTGGCCAGGCATGAGAGGTAGTACAATTCTAAGATTTCATCGAGGCTCTAGTAAAGACTGATGAATTGTTTTTGTTCCATAAGGAAGTATATCTTCCTACAGCTGTTTCTGATGCCAAATTTTATTTATTTTTATTTTTTTTCCAAATTTTATTTCTTTCCTCCCTAGACTATGCCAAATTCTTTCTGGTGATGTTTCCCCATCCTTTAACAATTTTCCAAAATGAAAAATTGTATTGTGTTCTTTTTTAAAAATTGTGCTTAAATCACAAGGAAAGTAAACATTTCTCTTTTATTCTGTCCCTAGACACTCAATTTCCCTTTTTAGAGACAACCAGTATTACCTGTTTCTTATCTGTTGTTCCAAAGCTGTCTGTATACAAAAGTAAACATGTATGCAAGTAGGTATGAGAGTGTAAATATATATTTTTTCTCTCCTTTTTTACACAAATAGCCCATCAATACACACTGTCCTTCACTTTACCTTTTTCACTTAAGGACATATCTTGATAGGTTCAGATCAATACATAAAGAACTTTCAACACATATTTTTGCTTTTAGTTAAATTGTAGACCATTGGATGGATGTACTATATCTATTGATAAGCATGTAGGTTGTTTATCACCTGCTACTGTAAATTATGCTGAAATTTTGTATATGTGTAAGTTTATCTATAGGATAGCTTCCTAGAAATGGAGCTGTTAAGTCAAAGGCTAGTTGCATTTGTAACTTTAATAGATGTCAGCAAACTGCCCTTTAAAATAGTCAAATCAATCCTACTAGGAATGAGTACCACAAACTTGCTAATACAGTGTGTCCCAAGCTTTTTGATGGTTATCTCATATGTGCTTTAGAGCAATTTGTATGTCCTTTTCTGTGAATTGTCTATTGATAATCTTTGCCCATTTTTTCTGAGTTATCTTTCTCATTGACTGTAGAATATGTTTATAAAAGAACTCTTTTTAACATAGGTTGCCAAGTTTCCCCCATTTGTTGGTTTACTTGACATTATTTATGATGGGTTTTGCCATTTAGAATCTTAAAGATATATATAATGATGAAATAAACATTTTAAGGCAAGACAAGAAAAATTTTTCACTGCCCTTTCAGGCCTCCTCCCTTCCCTCTAGTGTGCAGTGCGCATCTGCATTATGCATTAACCAAACCTCCCCAACAGCAAAATACCTGTTCAAACATAGAGACCAGTTTCTCTTCTGGAACCAGCCATGTAGTCCTTAGAAAAAAACATTCTTTTCTCAGTCCTGTAAGAGGTCTCAATGAACTACCACCTACCTTGTATATGTGGACATCTTTGGTGAACTTATGTATAAAGATTATGACTGGTATGACTGGTACAGAACAGACTTGGTCAGGTGACCTGGCAACACCTAATGGAAGAAAGTTCTTATCTTAACTACTTAATGACTCTATTAATGTTACTAGCCATGTTACTTGTATTCTGCCTATTTTATAAGATTACTGGGTTGTTTAGTTGGTTTGTTTTTTGTGTGTATGCTTTTTTTTTTTTTTTTTTACATTACAAAATGTGTGACTGAGCCTCCAGTAAAATAATAATGACTAGGGGACTTGAAATGATTGACCAAATATATAGTTGGTGGCTCAGGCAGTAAAGAATCTGCCTGTAATAACAGGAAACCCAGGTTTGATACCTGGGACAGGAAGATCCCCTGGAGAAGAGTGGCAACCCACTCTAGTATTCTTGCCTGGAGAATTCCATGGACAGAGGAGCCTGGCAGTCTACAACCCATGGAGTCACAAAAAGTTGGACATGACTGAACGACTAACCCTTTCACTTTTCAGGGGACTTGAAATGATTGGCCAAATGTATAGTTCAATAAGATCAATGTTTATAATAGTGTAGGTATGGGAATAAGCCATTTCCTGGGCCATAAGAGACAAGGCAGACAGGCAATCCAGAGGCTTTGGGCAACTATTAATTGGCCTGAGTCCAGTAATAGCACAGTGAGTGGCATATCAATGAACTCCTCGCCTGACCTGGGGATGAATATTCCTAATGCTGTGGGACAAATTGGTCATGAAATGCCTCCCAAATCTTTGTCAAAATTAAGACACAAAAGGAGGGTTTTGTAAAAGAAAAAATGTTGGCCACCATCCAGTTCTATAAGATGCGAGTCATTAGTGTAGGATGACACACAGTACATCCTAGAAAGGAATTCAAGGCGAGGAGCAAGATGAGGCATTTCATGCTCTGGCAGAACTGGCCCTCAGATATTTTCTGGAGAAAATTTTATGAACCCAGTTTCTTGCATCTTTCCTTACTTAGAAAAGTGCTAACACCATTAGCTAAGATATCTATCCTTTTTGAATAGTAGTCAGCTACCAAGATGTGTGCTTGGTTGCACATACCCCTTCGTCAAAAGTCACGTGTATATCTGGCTTTCCCCTTTATTTCTATGGAACCTGTAAAGCCCATGGTTTCTCTTAGAATTTTTATGGTTTAACACTTTACATTTATATCTTTGATCCATTTAGAAATTTATCCTAACAGAGGATGAGATAAGGATCAAAATTAATTTTTTTCAGATGGCTATGTGGTTATCTCAGCCCCATTTAATGAACACCATTTTTTCCCCAGTGGTTCATAATTTCTCTCTTCTCATATACTAAATTTCTCTATATATTCATATTTATAGCTGAGTACGGTAGACAGAATAATAGCCCCCTAGAGATGTCCACATCTTAATTCCTGAAACCTATGAATGTAACCTTACATCACAGTAGGGACTTTGCAAATGTTCTGAAACATCTTGACATGCGGAACGATCCTGGATTAGCTGGGTGGATCCAGTGTAATCACAATCATCCTTATATGAGGGAGTCAGGATGTCAAGAGTCAGAGAAGGAGATGTGATGATGGAAACTGAGATCACAATGATTGTTGGCTTTGAAGATGAGGGAAGAGTCTACGGCCATACAACCCTGAACGCGCCCGAACTCTTCTGAAGATGGAGGAAGGGACCTCACACCAGAGAAGGCAAATGCCTCTGAAAATTGGAAAAGGCAATTTTTGGAAAATTCACAAAAGGTCCTCTTCTAGGACCTCCAGAAGGAACACAATCCTGCCAACACCTTGATTTTAGTTCATTGAAACCCAGAATTTAGGAATTCTGACATCTAGAATTATAAGACAATACATCTGTTGTTTTAAGCCACTACATTTGTGGTAATTTGTTACCAGCAGCAATAGGGAACTACAACTCTGGGATAACTAGTCTGTGCCATTGACGTACTCTTGTGTACAAGTACATTTTAATTATTATAGTTTTATAATTTAGTTTATTGGCTGGTTGGTTCAGACCCTTTTATTTCAGGATGTCCCTGGCTCTTCCTGCTTTTTATTTTACCAGATAAAAGTGAGAATTAACTTGTTCGGTTCCAAAAAATTCTTGTTGACATTTTTACTGAGATCATGTTGTATTAAATTTAAAGATCAACTAATGGAGGACTGCTATCTTAAAGATGCTGAGTCTTCCATTACAAGAAGATAGTATGCTTTTCTATTTTGTGTCCTTTATTATCTTAAAGTTCCTATTAATGTGTACTTTTCTTGTTTATTCCAAGACATTTTATATTTTGTTACAATTTAAAACTATCATTGTAAAGTCAAATTTGTACAAAAAATTCAAACCATACACAAAAGAATATGGATGAAGACAAACTCATTCATATCTTACTAGAGAGCATCCTTCCACATAGTAGGGTTTTTTAGCCATAAAAAAGGGCAATGACTATTGGATAGGCAACTGCCAATGATTGACACAAATCCCACTGGGATTTCTATTGGAAATTCTGCCATAAAGGTGGTGTCATCTGCATATCTGAGATTACTGATATTTCTCCCCAGCAGTCTTGATTCCAGCTTGTGCTTCATCCAGCCCGGCGTTTCACATGATGTACTCTGCATGTAAGTTGAATAAGCAGGGTGAAAATATAGAGCCTTGATGTACTCCTTTTCCTATTTCGAACCAGTCCATTGTTACATGTCTGGTTCTAACGTGCTTCCTAAACTGCATAAAGGTTTCTTGGGAGGCAGATAAGGTGATCTGGTAATCCCAGCTCTGTAAGAATTTTCCACAGTTTGATGTGATCCACAGAGTCAAAGACTTTAATGTAGTCAATGAAGCAGATGTTTTTCTGGAATTCTCTAGCTTTTTCTCTGATACAGTGGATGTTTGCAATTTGATCTCTGGTCCTCTACCTTCTCTAATTCAGCTTGAACATCTGGAAGTTCAAGATGTTCACATACTGTTGAAACTTAGCTTGGAGAATTTTGAGCATTACTTTGCTAGCATGTGAAATGAATGTACTTACATGCAGAGTACATCATGCGAAATGCCAGGCTGGATGAAGCACAAAATGAAATTAAGATTGCTGGGAGAAATATCAATAATCTCAGATATGCAGATAACACCACCCTTGTGGCACAAAACAAAGAGGAACTAAAGAGCCTCTTGATGAAGGTGAAACAGGAGAGTGGAAAAGCTGGCTTAAAACTCAACATTCAAAAAACTAAGATCATGGCATCTGGTCCCATCATTTCATGGCCAATACATGGGGATACAATGGAAACAGTGACAAACTTTATTTTCTTGGGCTCCAAAATCACTGCAGATTGCAGCCATGAAATTAAAAGACACTTGCTCCTTGGAAGAAAAGCTTTGACAAACCTAGACATTATATTAAAAAGCAGAGACATTACTTTGCCAACAAAGGTCCATGTAGTCAAAGCTATGGTTTTTCCAGTAGTCATGTATGGATGTGAGAGTTGGACCATAAAGAAAGCTGAGCGTGGAAAAATTGATGCTTTTGAACCGTGGTGTTAGAGAAGACTCTTGAGAGTCCCTTGGACTGCAAAGAGATCTAAAGATCACTCTTGCACTACTCAAATTGATCATTTGAACATGACATGGGATTTCCTTTTCTGTGCTCCAGGTTGATTATGCTGATGAGATCATATTCTTGAACAAATGATCTGATTTCTGCTGATTAAGTTTTGGTTTTATTAGAAGTTGCCTCCTTGAGATTTCAGATTGGTCACTTGTAATTTAGGATATATATATTCAAAACTTCAATTACACATTAATAGATATTTTCATGAATTGCTAATTGAACTGTTAGTAAGAAATCTACTTTGTCTTACCTCCAGCTTAGTTGGTTGTCTTGGAGGAAAGGAACATAAAACTACTCAAATTTGTTTAAACTGAAAAAAAAAAGATGATTGGAATGTAGGGAGATTATTGTAATGTAGAGCTATCTCATGGACCTCAAGAGCATTAAGTGCTACTGGGCCCCTTAGAAATTGGAAAGATCTGGGAAGCAGTCAGATTTCAAAACAGTTTCTGTTTGACTCTCTCCCACTTCCTTATCTCTCAATTTCTTAACCTTTCTGCAAATGGGTTTTCTCTGGTTTGGTCCACACAGCCACAGGAATTGTATTTTAATGAAAGGTCAAAGTCATGTATCATCACACAGCCAAGATGGGCTGTGGGTTTGCAGGTGTTCTAAGGAAAGTATGTGAAGAATAGACATGAAGGTGTGTATCTCTGGTATGCATGGCAGGTCACTATTATCCCCAATTACTATCTAGAATCACTAGTTAGGTTAATTCTACCTCCAGAATGCTTCCTGAATTTGTTCTGTTATTGGTCTAATGCAAACCTTCATCTTGAGAAATGGAGTTATTTCCTGCCATGTCAATTAACAAGGATCTCACCAGACTCTTGCATCTTCCCAGACATGGAAAATCACCAAATTTCTTAACTTGGGATATCTGGTTTCCTTTAACAATAATCTCTGATATTCAGTCTGCCTGCCCTTTGTTGTAGAACTTCTATATAACCTGGCTCCTCCCCTTGCCTCCTCTGAGCAGTTCTCTCAAGGCTACTTGAGATGCTGCCTCCTGGGGATAAGTCCTAAAAATTCCAGCCAAATAAAACAACTCTCAACCTTTAGGTTGTGACTATTTTTTAAATCGACAATCTCTTGCCTGAAATATTTTAAGCACTGCCTAACAGTTTCTGTTGTTTTTACTCTATCCTGAAATCTGTCCTTCAATGCCACAGGGTAACCATGTGAGGATCAAATAAAAACTTCAAATTTTAAAGCACTCCACAAATATAAAGTGGTGCAGAACAAAAAACAGGTCTAAAGCATGAGATTCATCGTATTAAAAACTTTCAGATGTACCCATTACCTAAATAAAGATAAAAGTTCTATAATGGTCTTATGTCTCTTCATGCTGCTGCTGCTGCTGCTAAGTCACGTCAGTCGTGTCCGACTCTGTGCGACCCCATAGACGGCAGCCCACCAGGCTCCTCTGTCCCTGGGATTCTCCAGGCGAGAACACTGGAGTGGGTTGCCATTTCCTTCTCCCTACGTCTCTTCATAGAAGTGACATAAACGTAAACTCTCAGCACCTGGTAAGACACTTTTCCTCCCTCATCAGACAGTATTCCTTAACCACACTGTTAATTTCCATACCCACACTGCGTTATTTGCTTTATGTCTTCTATCTCATCTCCGCCCAGTAAACGCTAATCACCCTTTAAAACTGGAATCAACTTTTAATAAACTACGAAAAGATTTACATTCCTTTCTTTCTCTCCATTAGCTCTTTGTTCCAGTTTCACCCATGTACTTTAGCGTCATCAGTTCCACCATCTACAAGAGCCTAGAAAGCGCCTGAACTCCGTAATTGGTCTGAGTTAGAGGCTCAGCGCAACCTGAAGGGCCAAATCCCCAGGTTAGACCCTTAAGAAACAAATTAAGAGCTCTCGGGGCTGTCCGACTCTTTGTCACCCCCATGGGCTGTAGCCCGCCACTCTTTGTCCATGGGGATTCTCCAGGCAAGATTGCTGGAGTGGGTTGCCATGCCCGCCTCCAGGGGATCTTCCTGACCCAGGGATACGAACCCACGTCTCCCGCCCTGTAGGCGGATTCTTTACTGTCTAAGCCACCAGTTCCCAAGAGCCTGGCTGTTTCGGAGAGGGGCTGAGGAGCTACAGCTGCGTCGCCCGCCCGCGGTGCATACTGGGATATGTGGTCTCGGGCGGCCCACAACCTCTTGGGAGTTGTAGTCCTCGATCTGGTAAAGGGTGAGAAAAACGCAACTCTCAAGTTTTGGATTAGTCCTGAGGGAGAAAAAGAAGACGGAAACCCATAACATCCTGCAAGCTAAAGTTCCTTGAGCCCAACTCGGTCTCACGAGTGGTCGAAGCGGCTGGAAGGCGGGCCCGAGAAGGGTGGGGAGACGTTACGTTGACGCGGGCGTGAACTTGTCCTGTAGGATTTGGCGGGATTTCCGAAAGCTGTACGCAGAGCGCGCGCTGCGGCTTGAGACCGAGGCGTAGGAGGAGGCGAGTGGCGCCTTAGGGGCGAGGTTGGAAGCTGAAACTCGTCTGGGTTTCGTGCAGAAGGCCGAAGCAAGGGAGTAGAGAAGCGGGGCACAAGCGAGGGGACCTACAGTCCGTCCGGGATCGGGCGCGGGCGGGCCCAGCAGCCGGTAGTCCGAGTGTGCAGCCTGCCCTAGCGAAGCACGGCAGGTCCAGGTGAGTGTGAGACGCCGCCCCGGCCCCTTCCCACCGCCCTGTTAGCCCCGGCATACGCCGAACCCAGGCTTAGACCCAGATTCGGGCCCCAGCTCCGTCGCAGGCTTACGGGCCCCTCCGTTTCTCCGAGTGAGAAACTCGGAAATGGCGGGGCGAAGCCGGGACGTGTCCGGGCTGCTTCGGTCGAAGGGGAGAAGTTCGCTGAGGGGAAAATAGAAGCGCACTCTAGCGTTTAGAGCTGGGAGGAACCTTGGGAGGCCTTCATTTCCAACACCTACTTAATGGGCGTCCGCGAGGAATCCAAGATCCAGAGACGTGTAGTGACAGAGTCACAGCTCTTAAGCCAGAGCCACGGTTTCCAGGTTTCTGGTCAGTGCGCTTTCCGTCGCACAAAATTTTGCTTACCAGAGTACCCACCTCCAATTGCCAGTAAGATAATTGGCTTTTTCTAATGCGGAAGACCGTTCACGTGATGTCTAAGTAATGATCTCTAGTGACGGATGCTGTTTTTTTCTTAAACTTGTAAGCCAAGTGTAGTATACAAATAGAAAAATGCACAGATCAAAAGTGTATACAGCTCCATGAGTCATTACAAAATGAATATACCACTCAGGTCAAGAGAGAATGCTGTCATCACCCGGAAGCCTCCCTTGTGCCCCCTCCTCTAATACTCTCCCTTCTCGCCAGAGGTAACCACTGTGTTGACTACTAATACCATTGATTAATTTTGCCTGTTTCTGAATTTTATATAAAGAAAGACTGTTTTTGTGTCTGGCTTTGCTCAACATTCTGTAGATTCTTAAGTGTCTTTGCATTTAGCAATACTTTCTATTCACTTGTATTCCTATTCATTATACCTATGATGGATATTTGGATTTTTTCTAGTTTTTAGCTTTCAGGACAGAGGTGGCTGAGAAAATTCCTGCATACAGTTTAGTGCACACGTGTATGCTTTTCAGTGGGTTAATAATAGAGTGGCAGAATTCCTGGGTCAAAGCATTTGTCTGTAATCACCTTCCATGTTTAATACAGTACCAGTACACTCAAACCAGCGGTGAATGAGTGTTCAGTTGTTCCACACGTTTGCTAATAGTTAATGTTGTTGATCTTTTAAAATTTTAGCTATTACCTTGTGGTTTTAATTTTCCTGATTATTAATGTTGAGTGTTTGTTGATACGTTCATTAACCATCTGAATATCTTCCCTTGTGAAGTGCTTGTTCAAATCTCTCTTGCCTATTTTTTCTTGGGTTGTCTTTCTTGCTGATTTGCAAAAATTCTTTATATATTCTCGTATCAGCTCTGAGTTATATTTGTGGTAAATATTTTTCCCCCTCACTATTGTTCGACTTTCCTTCTTGCAGTGCTGTCTTTTGATTAGATGTGCTCAGTCACTCAGTCATCTGGCTTTTTTTTTTCTTTCCCAATTTTATTTATTTAGCCACACTTGGTCTCAGTTGCGGCATGTGGAATGTAGTTCCCCAACCGGGATTGAACTCGGGCCCTCTGCAATGGGAGTGTGCAGAGTCTTAGCCACTGGACCACCAGGGAAGTCCCAGTCCTCTGACATTTTGTGCCGCCATGAGCTGTAGCCCTGCAGTCTCCTCTGTCCATGGAATTTTCTAGGTGCATTTCCTACTCCAAGGGATCTTCCCAACCCAGGGATTGAACCCACTTCTCTTGCATCTCCTGCATTAACAGACAGATTCTTTACCACTGCACCACCTGGGAAGCCATAGCTTTTTTTTTTTTTTTGGCTGCACTGGGTATTAGTTCCTGTATGTGGGATCTAGCTCCCTGACCAGGGATCGAGCACCAGCCCCCTGCATTGGGAGCTTGGAGTCTTAGCCACTTGACGATCAGAAAAGTCCCAGCCAGAGCCTTTTTTTTTTTCCCCAGCCGTAGCCTTTTAATGGATAGAATTTCTAAATTTAAATATAGTCCAGTTTTTCAGCTTGTTGCATTTTGGTTATTGCTTTATGTATACAGTTCAAGCCATCTTTTTCATAAATTATGAAGGAAGACACTTTAAGTTGCCTTCAGATGATTCTGATATTTGGAATTATATTGGAATATACTCATATTATGCTAAGCATGCCATCTAAGAGAACTACACCTGAACCAGTCAAGAACAAATGGTCACCTTCTGTCAAGCCTCTAAGACTGGAGATTCCTTACCTGTTATTTTTTTAAGTTAAATTTATCTTGATTGTTAAATTGTCCAGATTATTTTGATGTGACTTAAGCATATTTATCCTTGTAGACATCAAGACTTGTTTGCTTTTACTAACACCTCATGAAGATAATTACAATTTTTTGTTCTCCATTCTTTCAATCAGTGCAATCTTAACTGTTAAAATAATCTGACTTTTGGTATTGGCCTTATATGGAAGATTTCAAACTGAGCAGGATACTTCCATGTTACTTATTCATTTGTGCATTCAGTGAAGTCTGGAATTGGTTAAAATGGTGATCTTTAAATTTCATACACTTTTATTAAAATAGAAGCAAAATGTGGGACTACAAACTATGATTCTTGCCTAAGGTGGGAAGAATTCTCATCTCAGTCCACTGTTTCGGTATCAGGAGTGGAGATTTATGGCAATGATTCTGTACCTTCATTTTGCCCCTTTGCCATCACCCCCAAACCCTGCTTGCTTGGAAGGGAACAGTGGAACTGAAACGGTTTAACCCTAAATCAGTTTTGGGGTTTTTTTAAGTAGAGTTCTAGAAAATCTGCATTCAGTTGCCGAATATTTAACAAACACCTAACATTTATGATGTTATCATGAGTTATATACAAATAAGACTTGGCCCTTACCTATAAGAAATATGAAGCAGGAGAACTGGGGGACATAGTTTATCTAGTTAAGCTGTCTAGGTGAAAGGGAAAGCTGGTGAGGGATTTCTTTTTCCTGCCATGGGTAAGTCAGTGATTAAACCAAAAGCCTAGTAGTCTTTTTTTTTTTCTTAATATATATATTTTATTGAACTATAGTTGACTTACAATGTTTCAGGTGCACAGAAAGGTGATTCAGTTAGACATATAAATATATATTATTTTTCACTTTATTTCCCATTGTAGTTTATTATAAGATATTGACTATAGTTCCCTGTGCTATACAGTAAACTTTTGTTGCTTATTGCGTATCTATTTTTTTTAAATTAGAAATCTAGCATTCTGTTCATACTAAGTCAAACAAGTAGAATCAAAATGCCATAAATTTTTTAGCTAGATATAAATTCATAAATTTTCTAAAATATATTATGCATACTAAATCTCCCCAGAGGAAAAACCTAGTAATTCTTTAAGAGATTTACTGTAAAACTATGTTTGCACGTCTGTACTTTCTCTAGTGTTCTTCCTGATGGCCATCTGTGTTTTTCAGTATTGCACACTGAGCAGTGGCTATGGAGATGCAGCTTGAAGCAAATGCAGATACTTCAGTGGAAGAAGAAAGCTTTGGTCCACAACCTATTTCTCGATTAGAGGTATGTGCTTGGTTGCTAATTTTAAAATTATAATGTTGGATAAGATTGTTCTACCTACTGGGAGGAATCACAACCTTTACATAAACTGAAATCCAAATTAGAGTTTTCAGGAGGGTCGTCAAGGATCCTATGGGAAGACTTAAGACAGTTGCTAAACATGTCTGCCAGGTCCCTTTTTTGTCAAGAATTCTTCCCCTACTTTTTCTTTCTTAGAACCTTATGTCAGAAACTAAGAAGCCCTAGGATCCCATGGTAGAACCTGTGCTGTTTGTACTAAGTATGAAATTACCATCCAGGGAATTGCAGTGGCCTGGGCCAGCTATGCAGGAAGTGGAGAGGAGCAACATCTCTCCACCAACCTGGATCTGTGATGAAGTTACTAAGAAGACAGCTGTCATAGACAGACTGGCTTGGGGTTAAGATGTGAGAGTTCAAGACTGCACAAGAACACCAAGCACCAAACCTGGGACCTTTCACTGTTTCTGCACATTGTACAGAGGTCCCAGAGTGAGTACCATTGACTTGGGCTGAAAGAATTAGGAGAGTATACTGAGAAAGCCTTCATTCTTGTCTCTTTATGCATATTCCTCCCATCCCCCACCTAAGCTTCAGCTTTTCAGAAGATACTTAAACAGGTTTGTTAAACACATTGGAGAATTCAGAGTCATAACTTTTGGTTTCAGTGAGCATCCTTATAACCACACATGTGAATTGCTTATTGCTTAAATCTTTATAACAGACCCGGTTTCTAGGGGTAGGTACTATTTCTCTCCCCTCTCCCAAACCTTCCCTGACCCCAGATACATACATATCTCGCTAATAATGCATGCTTTCCCCAAAGTCATGGTTTTGGTGGCTAATAAAACCAAAGCTGACTTTGTTTATAGGGAGAAGGAAGTGCCTTTGGGTGGTTTGTTTTTGAGAAGTGGCATGTAAATCCCTGACCAAAAATTGTTTTCCTCATTCTTAATATCAGTTGTTAAAGCAGAGCTTTCCAGTTATTGGGCAACAAAGAATGTATGCTAAGATATGCTCCCCTTAGCTCTGGGACAGTCTTATCTGTTTACCCAGCTTAGTGTAAAATTTATTATTCTTTATGTGTGCTTGATGTAGAAAACTTTGGGAAGCACCAGTTTAAAGTAGCCTTTTAGGGCCCAGGTCTCAAAGTTCATTTAGAGTTCCAGTCAAAAGCTTACAGGTTTGATCCCAATTCATGAGAGTCTTTTAATATACATAGTGCTCGTTTAAAACTACTGGTTTTGATAATGAATGAAAAATTAAAAAAAAAAATGAAAGTAAAGTCACTCAGTCATGTCTGACTCTTTGCGACCTCGTGGACTGTAGCCTTCCAGGCTCCTCTGTCCTTGGGATTCTCCAGGCAAGAATACTGGAGTGGTTTGCTGTTTCCTTATCCAGGGGATCTTCCCAACCCAGGGATCAAACCTAAATCTCCCTTGTTACAGGCAGACTCTTTACCATCTGAGCCACTAAGAGAATACCTTTGATGATGAATAGATTGGTAATTTGTTATGAGATGCATCATATGTAGGGCATACTTTTAGAAGCTTTTGCATATAATATCACAGTTAAAAACAGCCTTGTGAAATAAGTAGGGCCAATATCCACATTCAACAGATGAGGGAACCAAAGCTTAGATTTATCCGTAGTTTTCTTCACTTGCAGCAATGTGGTATAAATGCCAATGATGTGAAGAAATTGGAAGAAGCTGGATTTCATACCGTAGAGGCTGTTGCCTATGCACCAAAGAAGGAGCTAATAAATATTAAGGGGATTAGTGAAGCCAAAGCTGATAAAATTCTGGTAAGTACCGCTTGTGTGACCAAGAGAGGCAGCAGTGGGAGTGGTAAAGAGTATACAGTGAAAGACTGAAGTCTTCCTTCTTCCATCCCCTGTTGTGTCACCCTCTTCCTCTTTCCAGAAGTGACTGTATTACCAGCTAGTTATCTTTCTCCTTGCATAAACTGGGATTTTTCCTAGAGAACTGCAATATCATGGGGGTGTGACATAAATACTGCCAAATTGACTACCAGTTTGCACTCCTATCAGCCATGAGTGATGTGTGCCTTATCATTTCTGGATGTTATAATTTCATGTCTTAGAAATATACTCATTAGTATGTAGCCACTGAAAATAGTTTTGAAGAACATTCATTGACATATGAAAATGTTCCTGATATAAGAAAGCAGGTTAAAAAATGTGTTTGTGTGCTTATGTCTTTATCTTTTTAAATGTGTGTATTTATATACATATAGCATATACACTGGGGATAACTACAGTAAAATACTAACACTGTTGTTTCTGGATGGTGAGAATGTGAACAGTTTATTTTTGCCTCAATTTTCTGAAGTTTCTGCAGTTTCTATAATAGACTTGTATTACTTTTTTTTAATATATATATATATTTATTTATTTATTTGGCTGTGCTGGATCTTAGTTGCAGCATGTGTGATCTAGTTCCCTGAACAGGGATCAAAACCAGACCGCTTGCATTGGGAGGATGGACTCTTAGCCACTGGACCACTAGGAAAGTCTCCTAAACATGTATTACTTTAAATAGAAAAGTTGATTTTATTCCTTGAATATTAGAGTCATGTTAATTAGGCTGCCAGTGTGTACAGTCTATTAACTAACTAGTCATAAGCAAGATTCTTTAATCATAAGAAAGTGTGATTACAAATCATTAATGCTTAGTTTTTTTAACTTTAGTAAATGATGTAAAAGTGATTTTACAGGCTTAACCAAAATAAGATAATAATCCTTTATATTATATTGCACTTTAACTTTTTTAATTGAAATTTTACTTTAGACTATAGTTGGTTTATCGTGTTATGTTTCAGGTGTATAGCTAAGTGATTCATATGTCAATACATATACAATATTTGTTCTTTTTAGATTTTTTTCCAGTACAGGTTATTGTAAAATATTGAGTAGAGTTCTCTTATAGCACTTTAACTTTGAAATCCCATCTCTTTTGTATACACAGTATTCTCACTTGCCTTGACACTGGGAGAGAGAGGTAGGACCAGTGTTATCTCTGCCTTACACATAAGGAAACTTAGGCCCAGTGGTTCAGTTATTTATCCAATGTTATGTAGTTGATCACAGAACTAAGACTAGAATCCAGTTATTTTCATCCTGATATACTATGATACTTTCTTATTTCCCTCCAATGTCTTGCAGCTACTATTCATTTTTCTTACTTCATATATTCCTTTAGCACATATAGTACCCAATGATTACATTTTATTTCATGTATTTTATCCTTTGGTATTTATAGGCTATACCTTGGAGATAATTGCAGGTTAGGTTCCAGACCACCACAACACAGCAAATATCACAGTAAAGCAAGTCACACGGGTTTTTTGGTTTCCCGTTGCCTATAAAAATTATGTTTACACTATTTTGTAGTCTGTTAACTATACAATAGTATTAGAGCTACAAAAGCAGTGTGTATACCTTAATTTAAAAATACTTCATTATTAAAAAATGCTAACCATCATCTGAGCCTTCAGCAATTTATATTCTTTTTGTTGGTGAGAGTCTTGCCTTGACATTTATGACTGCTGACTGATCAGGGTGGTGGTTGCTGAAGGTTGGGGTGGCTGCAGCAATTTCTTAAAATAAGACCACAGTGAAGTTTGCCACATAGATTGAATCTTCCTTTCAATTGTAATATGCAATGCTATTTGATAGCATTTTAAATTTTTTGTTTCATGTTTTGGCTGCCCTGGGCACTTGTTGCTGCCTGAGGGCTATTATGGTTGCAGTGCAGGGACTTTTCATTGGCTTCTCTTGTTGCGGAACGCGGGCCCTAAGTGCATGGGCTTAGTTGCCCCATGGCATGTAGAATGGTCCCAGACCAGGGATTGAACCCGTGTCCCCTGCATTGGCAGATGGATTCTTAACCACTGGACCACCAGGGAAGTCCTATTTTATAGCATTTTATCCCCAGCAGAAATTTTTCTAGATTGGCATCAGCCCTCTCAAACACTGCCACTGCTTTATCAACCAAGTTTATATCACATTCTAAATCTTTTGTTGCCATGTCACCAATCTTCACAGCATCTTCGCCAGTAGATTCTCTTTCAAGAAACCACCCTTTGCTTATCCATAAGAAGAAACTCCTTATCCATGAAAGTTTTATCATGATATTGCAGTGTTTCAGCTGCAACTTCAGGTTCCAATTCTAGTTCTTTTGCTATTTCCACCACATCTGTATTTACTTCCTCTGCTAAAGTCTTGAATCTGTCAGAGTCATCCATGAGAGTGAAAATCAACTTCTTTCAGGCTCTTGTTAAATGACAGTTTGACCTTTTCCCATGAACCACAAATTTACTTTTTTTTAAAATACTTTCTTTTTTAACAAATGTACTTAATAGCATCTAGGATGGTGAGTCCTTTCCAAAAGATTTTCAACTGATTTTTCCCAGATCAATCAGAAGAATCACTGTCTGTGACAACTGTGGTCTTACAAGATGCGTTTCTTAAATAATAAGATTTGAAAGGCAGAATTACTCCTTGATTCACAGGGTGCAGAATGGATGTTGTGTTAGCAGGCATGAAAACAACATTAAATCTCATTGTGCATCTCCAAAGCCCTTGAGTAACCAGGTATGTTGTCAGTGAGTAGTAACAGTTTGAAAGGATCTTTCCTAAGGAACTGGTCTCAACAGTGGGTTTATTTTATTTTTTTTTTTTCATTTATTTTTATTAGTTGGAGGCTAATTACTTTACAATATTGTAGTGGTTTTTGTCATACATTGACATGAATTAGCCATGGATTTACATGTATTCCCTATCCCGATCCCCCCTCCCACCTCCCTCTCGACCCGATCCCTTTGGCTCTTCCCAGTGCACCAGGTCCGAGCACTTGTCTCATGCATCCAACCTGGGCTGGTGATCTGTTTCACCCTAGATAATATACATGTTTCAATGCTGTTCTCTTGAAACATCCCACCCTCGCCTTCTCTGAACAGTGGGTTTAAAGTATTCAGTAAACTATGTTTTAAACAGGTGTGCCATCATCCAGACTTGTTGCATTTATAGAGCACAGGCAGAATAGATTGAGCATAATTCTTACGGGCTCTAGGACTTTTAGGATGGTAAATAAACATTGGCTTCAACTTAAAGGCACCAGTGGCATTAGCTGCTGAAAAGAGAGCCAGCTGATTCTTTGAAAACTGTTGAAGCCAGGCATTGACTTCTCTTCTGTAGCTATGAAAGTCCTTAATGGCATCTTCTTCCAATATAACGTTCTTTTGTCTACCTTGAAAATCTATTTAATGTAGCCACTTTCATTCTTTATCTTAGCTAGATCTTCTGGATAATTTGATGCAGCTTCTACATTAGCCCTGGCTGCTTCACCTTGCTCTTAAATGTTACAGAGATGGCTTTTTTCCTTAAACCTCATGAACCAACCTCTGCTTGCTTCAGACTTTTCTTCTGCAGCTTTCTCATCTCCCTTAGCCTTCCCTGAATTAAGAGAGTAGGACTTTGCTCTGCACTAGGCTTTGGCTAAAGGGAATGTTATGGCTGCTTTGATCTTCTACCCAAACCACTAAAATTTTCTTCATATTAGCAATAAGGCTATTTCTTACTATTCATGTATTCACTGGGGTAGTGCTTTTAATTTCCTTCAAGAAGTTCCTTTACGTTCACACCTTGGTTAACGGTTTGACACAAGAGGCCTAGCTTTCAGCCTATTTCAACCTTTGACTTGCCTTCCTCACTAAACCAAAGCATTTCTGGTTTTTTTCTTCAGAGTGACAGACGTGCAGGTTCACGCCTTTCACTTGAACACCTGAAGGCCATTGTGCTGGGCTGTGCTTAGGTGCTCAGTCATGTCCGACTCTTTGCGACCACTTAGACTGCAGCCCGCCAGGCTCCTCTGTCCATGGGGATTCTCCAGGCAAGAATACAGGAGTGGATTGCCATGCCCTCCTCCAGGGGATCTTCCCAACTCAGGGATCGAACCCAGGTCTCCCACATTGCAGGTGGATTCTTTATCATCTGTGCCACCAAGGAAGCCCATTGTAGGGTTATTAATTGGCCTGATTTCAGTATGGTTGTGTCCTAAGGAACAGGGAGACCTGAGGGGAGAGACAGATGGGGATATGGTCAGTGGGTAGAGCAGTCAGAACACACACATTTATCAGTTAAGTTCACTGTCTTCTATAGGTGTAGTTTGTGGGACCCCAAAATAATTATAGTAACATCAAAGATTGCTGCCCGCATATCACCACTATGTAGTTACAGAGTTTGATTAGCTTTGCTGTTGAAGTTTTCTATAATGTAAAGCAGGTATTTAATTTATTAAATTATATTTTGTAGTTTTGTATTGATGGCTGTTATAGTTTCACAGAAATTTTCTCTGAAAAAAATCATCTTCAAAAGCTAAAGAATCTTCAAAAAATGCTTCCTGCAGCTTCAGTGCATGTAGTTCTACCACATAACCTAGTCTGATGGACAATATCTGAGATTTAGTATCTCATACAATATTATATATACAACCCAGTAAATTCTGTTTTATCAGGTATTATACTAAGAGCTATGAATTTTTAAGCACTAGCAAGGCTGTTATTTTATAGTATTAATTCATTCAGGGCTCAAATATCATGAGTAATTCTTAATTTAAATCCTTAAAGATGTTGCCATCTATGGAAGTATGAAGTTGTCATTTATTAGATTGCTCAAATAAATAAATTTGTTGAAGTGGTGACATAATTGAATAAGTAAGAATTCTGAATACCTAATACCTCTTTGAAAGATTATGATATTGTTAAGCCAGTAGGTGTCCCTAAAGTCTGTTTGTTGTTTCTTTCTGGGTATCTGTTTTTGTGACTCAGTCAATCCTGCCCTTTGCTTATGCCTTGTCAGACATTTAAAAAAACTCTTTGTCAGACATTGAAAATTCTTAACAGGTATAAGACAGATGAAAGCAAGCTTATTATATAAACAAAAGAAGTCAAGTTCTGCCAGACTAGGCAGTCGGCATGGTTTTTACTTCCAATTTCATACTGGTTATAATATGTTCCTTTAAGAGCTCATAGACTAGAAAATGTAGGGGTTAAATGACAAGAAGGGATAACATCTCCTATGAGTTTGATATTTTCCTTCCACATGTTTGAGTAAAATTTTTGAACTTACTGTAAAGTTGAAAGGACGTTACAGTGAACACTCATTTACCCACCACCTGGACACAACTATTAACATTTTAATATACTTGTGTTATCATCTATCTGTTTATCTCTCTAGCCATCAGTACATCTTGACTCTTTTTGTGCTTTTTAAAGTTGCAGTATATTTCCCCCTAAATATTTTAGCATTTATTAAACTAGAGTTCCATATTGGCTTATAGTTTCTTCTCCCCTTTCTTTAGTATTCTTATTTTCTAATTTTCATTGATCTTCATTCATCCTAAAGATTGGTAGAAGTTATGGGAAAAAGAAAGAAAGAAATTCTCAAAAAAATAATGTAAGGTTTCCCAGAGCTAAAGGAAAACAGAAGTCTAAGGCCCCACAAAACATCAAAGACCCTCACCTGGACCCCTGAGTGTGAAATTTTCAGTATACCAGTTGTAAAGAGGAGACTGAACGATTTCAGAGAAAAAAAAGTAAGTGACCTCTAAAGGAACAAAAATCAAAAAGATAGCACGTCTCTTATTAGAAATCTGGGTGGTAGAAGATAGTAGAGCAATCCCTTCAAAATTCTGAGGGTAGATGATTTTAAACCTATAATTCTATTGGTAACAATATTACTCACCCAGTGTTAGGGCAGAATACAACAGTTTCAGAAATACTAGAATTCAGAACATTTTGCTCTTATCTATTCTTTCTTAGGAAATTATCGATACTTGAGGATATGCTTTACTAAAATCAGGGTAGAAAACATAGGATCTAGGTTGGAGTGGCTCTATGTCAGGTAGCCAGTGAAAGAGAGAGCAGAGAGCCCCGTTTGGAGAAGGAAAGGATGTCTTTAGGGGAAAGGAGTCAGTAGAATACAGTAAGACTGAGAGACTGGAGATTTTGAGAAATGATAAAGTCAGAGAATACTAGAGAAAGATATGGCTCAGACATAAAAGCAAGGTAAAATGGAGCATGATTTTGAAACTAGTGGCATTTAAAAAACTTTATTTGAACTTGACAGATAACTTTGAGAGACATCAGTTGTTAACATTGGAACCTTAGTGAAAGAATTGTATTTCTAGCACACCATTTGGTTCTGCAATAACTATAATACAAATGTTATAATCAATTTTTAAGTGAAGTATTAATATAGAGAAGTTTAGAGAATAAAGCAAGTCCAGTATTCACCTTTTCATTATTTTTTTCCCCTTTGTAGAAAGTTTTTAAATTACAAGTTTAATCTCTACTTGCTGTAGATTTATCCAGATTTTTCTCCTCCCTCCCTCTTTTTTTCTCTTCCCACTTTCTTTCTCTTTCTCTTCCTGTTTCTCTTCCTTTCTTTTGATTTCCTTCCTTCCTTCCTCCCTCCCTCTTTTCTTTCTTTGTTTTGTTAGACTCTGTTTATTTTACTGAATTTAGATTCAAGTTTGGCTAATTAGTTGGGGCCTGGACTTGGATTCTTTTTCTACTTCAGTGAGTTTTGATAGTTTGTGTCTTTCTAGGGATTTCTGTGTTTCTTGTAAGTTATTTAATCTGTTGGCGTAGATTTATTTTTGTGAGGGTTGTAGTAATGTCCCCTTTGTCATTTCTGATTTTAGTGATTTGACTCTTTTTAAATCAATTTTGTTGATTTTTTTCAAAGAAGCAACTTCTGGTTTTAATGATTTTTCTCTGTTGTATTTCTATTCTCTATTTCATCAGTTTCCACTCAAATTTTATCTTCTTCCTTCTGCTTGCTTTATGTTTAGTTTGCTCTTTTTTCAATAACTTAAGGTGGGAAGATTAGGCTATTGATTTAAGATCTTTCTAATACAGGTGTTTACAGCTATAAATCTCCCTTTATGTACTGCTTTTGCTACATCCCATAAGTTTTGGTGTGTTTTGTCTTCATTTCACATATCTCAGTGAATCTTCTAAATTCCCTTGTGATTTCTTCTTTGGTTCATTGCTTATTTAGGACTATAATGTTTAATCTCCATGTATCTGAAAGCTTTTATTTTTAAATTTTGGAATCAACCTATAGACTGATCATTAATGGCTTATCAGTGACTATAAAGTAGTATTAAATGTTCTCAACCTGACAGGGTAAAAGAAAATGTACAGTTGACAGAGATGGAAAAGTAGGTGAGGGAGCAAAGATCAAAGGACAAATGTCCTCATTTAACAAAGTAGAAAGTTAAGAGATACATTCTATGGTTGATGGAACAGGAAACAAAGGTTTAAATATATTGAACTTTGTACCATATTGTCAGGCCAACTATGTATGTGTTGGTTTATCAGTTTGTTGTTTTTAACTACATGAATGTATTATTTGAATTGACAATTAAACAATTGCCCTTCTTGGAGTCTCTAAATTAGTTTATCCTTTATTTGCCAGAGAGAGAAAATAATCCTAGAACTAGAACTTACGAGTGTTTTGATAACTTTTTAAAGAGAAATCATTCTGGAAATTTTGTTAGATGTTATCTCTTCCCACTACATGCCTGATTCTTGTTTTACTAAGTGTATTTCATTAGTTTGACATTTCTTATTTTTCCCCAGACTGAGGCAGCTAAATTAGTTCCAATGGGTTTCACCACTGCAACTGAGTTCCACCAAAGGCGATCTGAGATCATACAGATTACTACTGGCTCCAAAGAACTTGACAAACTGCTTCAAGGTATCGTAATCTCTTATCCTATGTCGTGAACTACGGTTAGATTATAGAACATAACTGAAATATTTGGTTCATGTTTGTTAGATAGAATTAAGAATAAAGGAAAGTATTCACATTGAAGAAGTAAGACTGAAGGGTGAGGTTTAACTTTAAAAATACTAAAATTATCTGCCATTTCATTAATTTAATCTCCAATTAATAATTGCATTCTTGAGAGTCAGCTCCCTCTGCCTAAAGAAATAATATAACCTTTTAATCTACCACAAAGTAGAAATCAAATATTTGATCATTTAAGTTTCTTTTTGCGGGGGGCACAAAATAGCATGTGTTCAGGAATCACACTCAGATTTGAGCGTTTGTTTTCCCTCCTGTTCCCCCTCTTAGCATTTACTGGCCTTATTACATGGTGCAGATTACTTATTATATTCTATGCCTCAATTTTCTTATCTTATTGAAGAAGATAAGGGCTTATCTTTGACCTCATAATGAGGTAAAAAAAAATATATACCTTATATTATTGGAGTTAAATGAATTGATAGCACAATGTCAGATATACAAAAGATATTTAGTAAACATTGGATATTATCTGTAATTTATTTTTTAAATGACTGCTTATTGACTTGTGATGGTATTGTTCTATATATTGGTTATGGTGATACTTACGTGAAGCTACAAATGTGATAAATTGCATAGAATTATACACACACACAAATGAGTGCATATATAGCTGGAGAAATCTGAAGAAGCTCTGTGGATTGTATGGATGTCAATTTTCTGATATTTATACTATAATTATATAAAGCATTAACATTGGGGGAAGCTGGATGAAGAATTCATGGAACCTCTATATTTCTTTGCAGTGGTCTATGAATCTAGAATTATTTCCAAATGAAGTATTTTTAAAATTACTGCTTGTTGAAGATTGGATCTCTAAATTATGTAAACATCTTTCTGATGAGCTACTGGGGTGTTTCTATGGTTATGTTTCTAACATTTGTATTGTGCTAAGAGATGTTTCTTTTTTTAGGAGGAATTGAGACTGGATCCATCACAGAGATGTTTGGAGAATTCCGAACTGGGAAGACCCAGATCTGTCATACATTGGCTGTAACATGCCAGGTGAGCTGTTGGGGCTCTGCCTAATCATAGCAGCAAGAATGAGTTGATTCCTGTTACTGGCAAGCATCTGTTAGCAAGGACAAAAAAAGTACATTCTCTGTCTTCAAAAATGCTAGGGGGACTTTCCTGGCAGGTCCAGTGGTTAAGACTCTGAACTTCTACTGCAGGGGGCACAGGTTCGATTCCTTGTTGGGTATTGAACCTGTGCATGCTGCATGACTCAGCCAAAAAAGAAAAAGAATGCTATAGCTAGTTAGAAGACAGATTGCTACTGTAAGACTTCCAAACAGCTTAGAAACTTTCAGATTATTAATTTCACATACTTTCTTGCTATCTACTAGGCCTCTCCTGGCTTTTGCTGCCCTCTTCACTAGTTTAGATTTATGATTCTTCATTAAAGTAATTCCTTTACAGATACCCTCATATTTACATTCCCCATCTGAAGAGATGCCATTCTTAGATGAACCGTATCTATGTTTTCAGTGCCTGATTTCCCCAATAGCTGATCATACTAGAGAAAATCTTAACATAAAGCTGACCTCACTTTAAATTTAAGATGACAGACTTTAGCATTCAATACTGCTTGGCAGATCTACTGAAAATTTTTCATTCAGGCAACATTTTCCCCCACTCAGTAAGAATCTCGTAATTTGTCCTTTTTCCTCTAACTTTCATGCTTCTCTTCAGCCTCACTCTTAGCCAAATAATCTAAACTGTTCTTCACATCAAAACTATAAACTCACATAGCTTTTATAAAAATTTTATTTTATGAAGTATAGTTGATTTACAATGTTATGTTAATTTCTGCTATCTAGTGAAGTGATTCAGTTATACTATATACATTCTTCTTCATATTCTTTTCCATTGTGGTTTGTCACAGGATTTTATTATTTATTTATCTGGCTGCATTAGGTCTTAGTTGCAGCATGCGGGATCTTGTTTGTTGCATCATGTAGGATCTTTCATTGTGTCACACAGACTCTCTAGTTGTGGCACTCAGGCTAGGTAGTTGCATTGCACAGGTTCCAAAGCATGCGGGGTCTAGCTGTGGCTCATGGGCTTAACTGCCTCACAGCATGTGGGATCTTAGTTCTCCAGTGAAGGATCAAACTCATGTCCTTTGCATTGCAAGGTGGATTCTTAAACCACTGGATCACCAGGGAAGTCTCTTGTCACTGAACATTGAATGTAGTTCCTTGTACTGTATAGTAGGACCTTGTTGTTTATCCATTCTGTATAATACTTTGCAACTGCTAATCCCAAACTCCCAATCTATCCATCCCCACCATCCCCCTCCCCTGTTCTTTATGTTCTGTTTTGTAGATAGGTCCATTTGTGTCACATTTTAGATTTCACTTGTAAGTGATATCATATGGTGTCTTTCTCTTTCTGACTTAGTTCACTTAGTATGATAATCTCTAGGTCCATCCATGTTGCTGCAGATGGCAGTATTTCATTCATTTTTATGACTGAGTAGTATTCCATTGCATATATGTATGCTAATCCATGGAGTAGTATTCCATTGTATATATACACATCTTCTTTATCCATTCATCTGTCAGTGGACATTTAGGTTATTTTCATGTCTTAGCTATTATGATAGTGCTGCTGTGAACACAGGGGTGCATGTATCTTTTAGAACCAAAGTTTTGTCTGGGTATATGCCCAAGAGTAGGATTGCTAGAGCATATGGTAACTCTCTTTTTAGTTTTTTTGAGGAACCTCCATACTGTTTTCCATGGTGGCCACACCAATTTACATTCCCACCAACAGTGTAGGAGGGTTCCCTTTTCTCCACACCCTCCTCCACACCCAGCATTTGTTACTTGTAGGCTGTTAATTAGGGCCATTCTGACTGGTGTGAGGTAAATCCATGTATCTATAGCCACCCTTTCTTATCTTGGGTTACAATAGAGGGTGTCTCTTTTCCTCTCAAAGGCCCTACCAGTGTGATCTGGTTACCATGCCTTGCCACCTTTCCAAGGACTCTGCTCCTTCTGTTTTCTGGTCTACCTCTCTATTAAATTATTTTCATTGTTATACAAGCATACCTTGTATCTCCTACATTAGGGAAAAAACTTCCCTGGACCCCTTCTGTTTCTTCTTTGTTTGCTTTGCTCGGATAGATTTGGAAACAGACACAGTGAGTTAAACAATTCCTAAGATCATATCACATTTAAGTAGTAGCTACAGGAATCAAACCCAACTTCAGAGCCCATGCTCTTAAAACTCTTTAAAGTAGTACCTGGCTTGTAGTAACTGACTTGTTCTCTACTGTACTGCTAGTGCCTAAGTCAGTGCTCAGTAAATACTTGAATGAATGGAGATGATTGAATTAGATGTCCTAAGGCATACCTGATATATTGTAAAATTAAAAATACAGGGGAAGTAGCATAAGTATTTAAGGAAGAAACAGGATTCCATCACACTAGAGTAATCATTGAATACTTTATGGAAAAAAGAGATTAGACCAGGATCTTGAAGAATGCTAAATTTGACCAGGTAAATAAACTAAAAAGCATTTAACTATAGGGAATGGTATGAACAGAGCAGGGGACCATAACATAAGACAAAATAAGCCCATTTACCTTTGGACAAATTGTAGGAGACAGACAGACCTTTGAGAAGGACACATCAAGACCATTTTACAAGGTCTTGACCAAAGTATAAGAAGTATAGACTTGCTTCTATAGAGAGTGGGGATCATTCAGCATTTTTCAATGGAAGAGAAGCATGAGCAACTTTTCAGAAATATTCTGGTAGCAATTTAATGAACTGAAAAGAGAGGCAAGAGCTAAGGATAGCTGAGGTATAATTATTATAAGCACTAGCTGGTCAGGACTACACTAAAATAATGACACTGAAGGAATATAGACAGAAGATATAAAGTATAGTGCTTAATGATTGACAATAAAAATACCCTTCAGCCCAGCATATTACTTTGGCAAACTCTAAAAAGTATTTGGGAGAGAGAGACAGTTTTGATGGAAAGATGAGTTTCAAAATTAGATGTGGTAGGTTTGAGGTGATGAGATGACCAAGTGAAATTTTCTAACAGTATTTAGAGATGTGGAACTAAGTTGTCTACAGAGAAGTAACACTGGATTTCTGAAAATAAAAGATCTGTGAGAGAGAGAAAAATAGAAGAGTAAACTTTTCACTGTTTCCCACCTCCAAGCCCTGTTTTGAAGAGCACTTTTTCCTCTTTCAGGAGGGTCCCAGTTTTTCCTCGCCTCAAGGGCGGGCTGCTTACCCTCAAAGCAGTGACTGGCTGGCCCACAAAGTACTCTGGAACCTGACCCATTCCCATGGGCCAACTCTTGTTTTAATCTTTTGAGGTTTTATTATAGTTTTAGGTATTTTGAACCAAATGGCATTACAGATCTTCCTTGACACATCATGGGGTAAACCCTGATAAACCCTGATATCACATCCTGATAAACCCATCAGAAGTTGAAAGTTTCACATGTCAGCTCAGTCGTGTCTGACTCTTTGCGCCCCAGGGACTGCAGCATGCCAGGCTTCCCTGTCCATCACCAACTCCCAGAGCTTACTCAAACTTGTGTCCATCGAGTTGGTGATGCCATCCAGTCATCTCATCCTCTGTCCTCTTCTCCTCCTGCCTTCAGTCTTTCCCAGCATCAGGGTCTTTTTCAAGGAGTCAGTTCTTCGCATTAGGTGGCCAAAGTATTAGAGTTTCAGCTTCAGCATCAGTCCTTCCAATGAATATTCAGGGTCGATTTCCTTTAGGATGGACTGGTTGGATCTCCTTGCAGTCCAAGGGACTCTCAAGAGTCTTCTCCAACATCACAGTTCAAAATCATCAATTCTTCAGCGCTCAGCTTTCTTTATATTCCAACTCTCACATCCATACGTGACTATTGGAAAAACCATACATTTGACTAGGTAGACCTTTATTGGCAAAGCAATGTCTCTGCCTTTTAATATGCTGTCTAGGTTGGTCATAGCTTTTCTTCCAAGGGGCAAGCGTCTTTTAATTTCATGGCTGCAGTCACCATCTGCAGTGATTTGGGAGCCGAATAAAATAAAGTCTGTCACTGTTTCCATTGTTTCCCTATCTATTCGCCATGAAGTGATGGGACTGGATGCCATGATCTTAGTTTTCTGAATGTTGAGCTTTAAGGCAGTTTTTTCACTCTCCTCTTTCACTTTCATCAAGAGGCTCTTTAGTTCTTCTCCACTTTCTGCCATAAGAGTGGTGTCTTCTGCACATCTGAGGTTACTGCTATCTTTTCCAGCAATCTTGATTACAGCTTGTGCTTCATCCATCCTAGCATTTTTCATGATGTACTCTGCATATAAGTTAAATAAACAGAGTGACAATATATAGCCTTGATGTACTCCTTTCCCGATTTGGAACCAGTCTGTTGTTCCAGGTCTGGTTCTAACTGTTGCTTCTGGACCTGCATACAGATTTCTCAGGAGGCAGGTAAGGTGGTTTGGTATACCCATCTCTTGAAGAAATTTCAAGTTTGTTGTGATCTACACAGTCAAAAACTTTGGCATAATCAATAAAGCAGAAGTAGATGTTTTTCCAATAATCACTTGCTTTTTTTGATGATCCAATGGATGTTGGCAATTTGATCTCTGGTTCTTCTGACTTTTCTAAATCCAGCTTGAACATCTGGAAGTTCACCGTTCACGTACTGTTGAAGCCTGGCTTGGAGAATTTTGAGCATTACTTTGCTAGTGTGTGAGATGAGTGCAATTATGTCGTACTTTGAGCATTCTTTGGCATTTCCTTTCTTTGGGAGTGGAATGAAAACTGACCTTTTCCAGTCCTCTGGCCACTGCCGAGTTTTCCAAATTTGCTGGCATATTGAGTGCAGCGTTTAAAATAGCTCAACTGGAATTCCATCATCTCACTAACTTTGTTCGTAGTGATGTTTCCTAAGGCCCACTTGACTTCGCCTTCCAGAATCTCCGGCTCTAGGTGAGCGATCACACCATCATGATTATCTGGGTCATGAAGATCTTTTGTGTATAGTTCTTCTGTGTATTCTTGTCACCTCTTCTTAATATCTTCTGCTTCTGTTAGGTCCATACCATTTCTGTCCTTTATTGTGCCCATCTTTGCATAAAATGTCCCCTTGGTATCTAATTTTCTTGAAGAGATCTCTAGTCTTTCCCATTCTATTGTTTTCCTCTATTTCTTTACATTGATCACTGAGGAAAGCTTTCTTATCTCTTCCTGCTATTCTTTGGAACTCTGCATTCAAATGGGTATATCTTTCCTTTTCTCCTTTGCCTTTAGTTTTTCTTCTTTTCTCAGCTATTTGTAAGCCCTCCTCAGACAACCATTTTGCCTTTTTTCATTTCTTTTTCTTGGGGATGGTATTGATCACTGCCTCCTGTACAATATCATGAACCTCTGTCCATTTTAATTGTTACACAGCATTGAACAACAGGATGTATCACTATTTCTTGAGTCTTTTCTCTATTAATTTAAGGCTGTTTCTAAACATTTTCTTGTCATAAATGACACTGTAATGAACATCTTGAACTATCTTGTGAACAAATACAAGTGTTTCCGCTGATTAGATATCCAAAAGTGAAACTCCTGGACTGGAGGATGTGCCAATATTAAATTTTGGAAGACAGTGTCAAACTCTGTCCAAAAGGCAGGAATATTTAAGAAGTTGCCAGGTCTTCAGAGCTAATCCTAAATGTTGACACTAGAAGGATTCTTAAAATTGTCCAGTCAAAATCTTTTGTTTTCTAGTACAATACTGAGGCTTCTGGAATCGGGGTCACGTGGTCCAGGTCACTGGTCCAGACTCCAGTCCAGGTTTCGTGGTTTCCCAGCTCAGTACTTTCTTCAGTACATGGCTCACAGGGCAAAAATCAGACTTGAATTTGGTAGTACTCCTTCCCGGCAAAATAGAGATGTTTCACAAATAATTAAAAACATGTTTGTTTTTTTTTCCTTTGGATTTTTCAGTAGTACTAAGAACAATTCAGATTTGTGTTATGAATCAAACATTCAGAGTGGAAATACAACTCTCAAAGAAAACAGGCAGATTCTGTATCTAACACAATGCTGTCAGTAAAACATGCAAATGGAATCTGATTTCCTTATTAAATGATGTTGGCAAAGGAGGCTGCAGTTCCGTCCTCAGATGCCCACTATTTTATGAAAAGTATTCCAATCGCCACATTAAGCTACTCAAATTATCCACCACTGCATAACAATCAACTCTGAGTTAGGGGGAAAACAGCAGATCATTTTATTATATTCCCAGTTCAGTGGATCAGGAGTTTGGGAAAGGTACAGCAGAGGTATCTCGTCTCTGCTCCACAGGGTCCAGGAACTCAGCTGGGAAGACTCAGCGCTGGGGGTGACAGCAGCTGGGGCCAGATCCAGAGAAAGAAAGACACCTGTCATCTGAGATCCCAGCTGGGGCTGTTGGCCAGAGCACCCACACACAGCATCTCCAAACAATCCCTGTGCTTCTTTACAGCATGACGGCTGGGTTCCAGAGGCAAGTGTCCCAAGACTCACCTTCCACTAACGGCAGTGTGAGGAGATCAGGAGAGCCACTGCCACAGAAAGAAGTATAAAACTGGACAACGTTATCAAAAATAACCATCTCAGGCTACTGGAAAATGACCAAAGATAGAAGAAAACTTGAGAAGTGTTTACTCATGAAAACTGCCACTGTGTTGAGTAAGTTCAATTACTCTTGGCTTTCTTGCCTAAGGGAATCCCCAGATCAGGTAATAAAACCCTCAGCTTTATCTGCCTAAGATGATGGTCTTTTTCATCAAATTCGGAAAAGCTAAAGCCATTATTCTATTGAATATGTTTCCTGTTCCTTTGTATTTTCCTCTCCTTCTAGAGTCTAAGTAACCAAGTCGTGTCCGGCTCTTGTGACCCCATGGGCTGTAGCCTGCCAGGCTCCTCTGGCCGTGGGCTTTTCCAGGCAAGAATACTGCAATGGGTTGCCACTTCCTTCTCCAGGGGATCTTCCCGACCCAGGGATCAAACCCAGGTCTCCTGCACTGCAGGCCAATTCTTTACCAACTGAGCTTCTATTGAATATGCTTCCTGTTCCTTTGTCTTTGCCTCTCCTTCTAGTATTTCCCATTTTGTATATGGTAGTATACTTAATGTTGTCCACATTTCTCTGAAGTTCAGTTCATTATTATATGTTCTCTGTTCTTCAGATTGTATAATCTCTATCAATGTCTTCAAGTTCACTGATCCTTTCATCCTCCACCTCAAATCTACAGCAGAGCACCCCTTGGTGAAATTTTCATTTTAGTTATTGTACTTTCCCTTATGGCAGAAAGTGAAGAAGAACTAAAGAGCCTCTTGACGAAAGTGAAACAGGAGACTGAAAAAGCTGGCTTAAAGCTCAACATTCAACTAATAAATATAAATGAAAAAATAAAATAAAATAGATAACTAATGAGAACCTATGGTATAGCACAGGGAACTCTACTCAGTGCTCTGAGACAACCTAAATATTAAGGAAATCTAAAAAAGAGTGAATATATGTATATGTGTAACTGATTTACTTTGCTGTACAGCAAGAAACTAACACAACATTATAAAGCAACTATACTCCAAAAAAATTAGGAAAAAATTAAAATAAAAATAAAAGTATGCTGAAAGTTAAAAAATAGAAATTAAAAAAAAAAAGCTCAAATTCAGATAACTAAGATCACGGCATCCGGTCCCATCACTTCAAGGCAAATAGATGCGGAAACAGTGGCTGACTTTATTTTGGGGGGCTCCAAAATCACTGCAGATGGTGATTGCAGACATGATTAATTAAATAAATAAATTAAAAGATGCTTACTCCTTGGAAGGAAACCTATGACCAACCTAGATAGCATATTAAAAGGCAGAGACATTACTTTGTCAACAAAGGTCCATCTAGTCAACGCTATGGTTTTTCCAGTGGTCATGTATGGTTGTGAGAGTTGGAATATAAAGAAAGCAGACTGCCAAAGAATTGATGCTTTTGAACTGTGGTGTTGGAGAAGACTCTTGAGAGTCCCTTGGACTGCAAGGAGATCCAACCAGTCCATCCTAAAGGAAATCAGTCCTGGGTGTTCATTGGAAGGACTGGTGTTGAAGCTGAAACTCCAATATTTTGGCCACCTGATGCAAAGAGCTGACTCATTTGAAAAGACCCTGATGTTGGGAAAGATTGAAGGCAGGAGGAGAAGGGGACGACAGAGTATGAGATGGTTAGATGGCATCACCGACTCAACGGACATGAGTTTAGGTAAACTCCAGGAGTTGGTGATGGACAGGGAGACCTGGCGTGCTGCAGTTCGTTGGGTGGCAGAGAGTCGGACACGACTGAGCGACTGAACTGATTATACTTTCAACTCCAGAATTTTCATTCAGTTCTTTTTATATAATTTATATTTCTATTGAAATTTCCTATTGTATAAGGTCTCATCATCATAAATTCCATTACTTCTTTAAGCACCATTTAATTCCTTAAACATATTTACAATAGTTGATTGAAGATCTTTGCTAAGTCCAACATCTGGGTTCTCTTAAAGGCTTTCAGGTACCTGCTCTTTTCTCCTGCATAATGAATCACATCTTCCTGTTTCTTTGCATGTTTCATTATTTTTCTTTGAAAACTGGACATTTCAAATAATAGATTGTAACAGCTCTGCATACTGATTCTTCACCAACACCTCTTCGGGTCTTGTTTTTTTTAATTGTTGTCCACTTGTTTATTTGTTTAGTGATCTGACTAGATTATTTATATAAAGTCTATTTCCCCCACAGTGTGCAGCTTCTAACATCACTCCTCCTCAGAGGATACAGTGTCAGACATGCTTACAATCACCCAGAAATGGCAGTTGTTTTACCAGGACTCTCTTTGATTGTCTCCTTCTTTGGTTTCTTTTTTAGCTTTCTGTTTATCTGCCTCTGTTGGAATCATACCCAGATCTTAGCCTCCACAAATTGCTAGCTGATTTTTCTATTATTTTAAACAATACTCTATGTCACAAATTTCTCCACAGCCCAATCCAATTAAATTCAGACCTCTTTGCAAAGACAATCCTTGAGGCCAGCCTTTGAAGCTTGTTCCAATCCCAGGAGGGCTCTTCTTAGCTGTCTCTTCTTTTATTCTTTAAGTTATACTTCCAGCTGCTCTACAGTTTAACTTGTTGCTATCATGGCATTCTAATTTCTTCATAAGTATTTACTATCAAAATCCTCACTGTTTTTTGTTCATTTGTTCACTTTCGGCCATGCTGCATGGCTTCTGGGATGTTGGTTCTCCAACCAGAGATCAAACCTGGGGCCCCAACAGTGAAAGCACCCAGTCCTAACCACTGGACCTCCAGGGAAGTCCTGAATCCCCACTGTTTCTGATAGCATTCTTAGGTTTACCACAGTCTATTTCAAATAAAATCAGTGCCCTTAGGGAAAACTATGGCGCTCTCTCTGTTCTTACAGCTTATCTCTTGCTGGCAAAACCTCTGTGCCACAGCACTTGAGTTAGGACAAGGACAGGGGTCTGGGGGAAGTGGAAGCCCTTCTTGTTGGCTACTCCTGCCTGAAGTAGAACTTTCATCACACAGGGCTGGGAGGGGAGGGACGGCCCATGGCTCATGTGACACAGATTTTCTGTTCTCAACAGATATTTAGTTGTTGTTCAGTCACTAAGTCATCTTACTCTTTGCAACCCCATGGATTATAGCACGCCAGCCTCCCCTGTCCTTCACTATCTCCCTGAGTTTGCTCAAATTCATGTCCATTAAGTTGGTGATGCTATCTAACCATCTCACTGTCTGCCACCCTCTTCTCATTTTGCCTTTAATCTTTCCCAGCATCAGGGTCTTTTTCGATGAATCAGCTCTTCGCACCAGGGAGCGAAAGTATTAGAGCTTCAGCAACAGTCCTTCCAATGAATTTTAGGGTTGATTTCCTTCAGGATTGATTAGTTTGTTCTCCTAGCAGTCCAAGGGACTCTCAAGAGTCTTCTCCAGCACCACAATTCAAAAGCATCAATTCTTTGGTGCTCAGCCTTCTTTATGATCTAACTCTCACATCCATACACAACTACTGGAAAAACCATAACTTTGACTATACGGACTATACAGCAACTTAGTAGATTTTCTCAAATAAAGGTTTTTCCATTTGTTGTGTATCCTTAAGAAAATTTCCAGAAACTTCAAATGGTTGCTGCTTACATGTTTCATGGGTTAGAGTCACATAGTTGAGGAAATCAGTGGAGCTCTTCAAATTGTCATTTTAGAAGTGTTCCTTCTCTTTTTCTTTAACAGATGAGATCTGCACTAAGGTCAAGACCCAGGAGAGACCCTTAGAAGAGGAACTCTGCCAAATCAGGAGACTTGAAGAGGAATCTAAGGCTAGAGGCCACCAGGACTAACCTACAGAGTTGTGAAGACTGAGTATTCTCCTCACCAAGCTATGCGCCCATGGAGCTTGTCAATTCAGAAGTAGCATATTTTTCTAACATGTCCAGGCAAAGGGACCTTTTTTCTCATTCACACAAAGGCACCAATGTACTTGCACGGCTTCAGAAGCCACAGAGACTCCAGCTGACAGGTTATGTAGAACGAATTAACAATAGAGAACAGCAGTTTCCAGTTTTGGTTGTTCATTAGGCTCATTTGGGGAGCTGTTGAAAAATACCAATGTGATGGTCCCACCCACACCAATTAAGTCAGATTCTCACAGGATGGGGCCCAGCCAACAATATTTTTAATAACCCCTCAGGGAGTCAGGACTGAGAACCACTGCTCTAGAGCTTGGAGCCAAGGGAATGGGATTCTTTGTCCCCAGACACCTCAAGAGGATATAAGCAGATGACCAAGTTCCAACATTGGCAGCTATAAAATGCTCTAAGTGAACAGTGAGTAAAATTGGCACAGCAAAGGTCGTCAAATTACAATTAGTAATGTCTGTCCTAAAATTGTCCCCTAGTACTAAGAAAAACAGACAATGACTATTGTAAACATAGTTTCCACACCACCCCCCCACTATGGGTCCTAATTGCTATGGCTCTCCCAAGCCAGGGTGCGTCCCCTTGTGTCATGGTGACATATACAGTGGCAGATTTGCCCGCTCCTTTGGCCACATAGAGACTCCGTGCTGTTCTTGGCATCGATATAGTCAAAGGCTGTCTTTATAGAGGCACTAATTCCCAATGCCAGAAAAGATAGTACCTTATCCCAGGGACAGACTCTCATCCTTTAACAAAAGGAACTCTGCTTCATTCCCAGAATTTTCTGCTCCCCCCCACCAAGAAAAGAATGCAGCATAGAAATAAGTCATTGGAAAAAAAATTAGTGATGAGAGAATTTATGAAATATTGAGGGAATTCTCTAGGTTAGTTATGATTCCTTCTTCAAATCTTGGATGTTCAGGCTGGGAGGGAATCCT